AATTGCATGTAGATACTAATTATACCTACCATAAACCTCTAACAAAAGACAAAACAAGATTAATTGAGAATCGTGCAGGTCTTTGAAATTAGAATTTTCAAACGGATTGTGTGCACATGTTTAAATTGGGCTCCAGCAAGCCATAGCAATAACCTTGGAAACCCCATTTGGTCTTATCCTCATAGACACTTTTTTGTTGTACATTAAATATTCGGTTCAGTTGATCATCGGCCCCTCGACGTGTTTTTTTTGTTCCACCCTCGAATTTGCTGAGAACAAACACCATTAATTCCAGCTCAAATTCCAGTGACAAGAATTACAATTGAACCCCGACCTTTGTTTTCGGCCAAATGTGTTCGTGAAGACGCGCTTCGGGTATATTGATGTAAAGACAAGCACGGCAGACATGGCATTGCGAAACAGGTTTTAGTTTTGGGATAAAATCGAACTTGGTGCGATTTGCAAATAACCCACATATCATTTTCTTTTAATTTTTCCGGCAATCGAGAAAAAAAAACATTGCAGTGTTATAAAGAGAACGTACGGACCTTGGAGCACATGAAGGTGAAGGCTGCAAAAGCGCATTGACCGCCACCCGCCAAATAGAGAAATACGATCAATAGATGCTGGCGGGGTTTATGCCGTTCAGACATAACTTTCGCTAATCATGCCCGAACAATAAATTTACAACATTTACAACAAATTCTGCTGGTTGGTCGATATAAAAATAGTTTCTAAAACGACATATTCCAGATGTAGGGAATTTTCTTTTCAAATCTAAAAACTCGCATTCTAAAAATATCTAGAATTATTAACGATATCCTAGTAAGGGCATAGCTTCGTTTTCTTTCCATCATTAAGCAAAGTTGAAAATTAATGAAGCAATCTCCATTGTAAAATCGCTACAGGTGCAATCGCAAAATGTGAATAACGCGAAATACGACCGGCAAAAGCGAAAATGTGCAAATACCGTCGAGATTAATATACATTCCCTGAACAAGTAAAAATAATCGCCAACATAAACTCTAAAATCGCGAAATACACGTACTCAGCGGTGTCCGCCATCTTGATTATAAACCGGCTGCATTGTCTCACGAAGCAATTAATTTCTGCATATAACTGGTGAAATCACCTTAAAATGGCCTTACAAGATAATTTCCCGCAAAAACAACACCTACGGCACAAAACTGTTAAAGAAAGACTAATTTTTAACTCACATTAAGATGTTCAGAGCCCAGCCCTTACCTGTCATTGTTCTCAAATGACTCAAACCTGATTCAAACCAAATCGTAAGAAATATGAATAGCACCGGAGTCATTTTTGCGTGATTAAACGTTAACGTAAAAGAAACTAAAGGCACATACCTCAAAACCTTCTGATTTGGCCCATACATTTCCGTCGTGTCCCGCAATTGCAGCTTTAGTTACACAACGTGAAGCCAAGAGCTGCTTTTCAACGTAATCCTGCCAGCTCATTTTGATTTAAAAATTATTATTCTAACTCCGCACACGCGAATTTTATTAATATCTTAAGCTATATCCTTTTACTTGCACTTGCTCACTGAAGCCGCTCACGATGAAGCAGCGGAAACGTAGAATGAGAATCTGACAGCTCCTACATGCGCATTTTCGGTTATATTCCTACACTAATGTCGCGCTATTACCAACCTTACAAATGTGATTGCGCCAAGTTTATTATTTGTATTTTTTTGTTAATTTATTTAAAAGAGAGTCCCTGATTTTGCTTAACATTCGTTAATTGATAACCCTTACTGTATAGATACAGCAATAGTTTGGTTTTGGTTCACAAGTTGAAAATATATGGCTGTATAGGCAACACAACAAGCACAAAGCAGATCGATTAATTTTTGTCTTGTTACCAGTGGCGTCGCAAGCGGTGCTGTTTTACAAAATGTTCAGCTTCACTGCAAAAGATTGTTTAGTATATGTTGAAGTTTCTGAAATTCATAGGTTCACTTAGTCCTGAACATTTTCCAATAAAAGTGTACGGCTTAAGAAAGAAATTGACTTTTTTATTTATCATAGGGTTGCAAATTTAATCGAACATAATGGGCTATCCAAAACGACCAGTGCCCTCTTAAATAGAGTAGAATAACATGGCCATCTTTGATATTATTATACAAAACCAGTGATACTAAACACTTTTAGAATTTCATTTGGGAATCAACGTTGCATTTTGGCATTGAAGTTTACAATGTATTTCTTATGGCAATAATTCCATGGCCGTGCCGTGGTTGACTAGGCGAGACAATAAACGAACGAATTTAGTTTCAATCAGAACCAGCCATGTCATTATTGCCAAAAGAAATACATTGTAAACTTCAAAGCAAAAATGCAAGCTTGATTCCCAAATGAAATATTAATATTACTGGTTTTGTAATTTTTTTCTCTATCGAGTGACGTAAAAATCCGATGTCAATATCTCGAAAACCGCCATTTTGAAAATTTTTTTCTACATCCCATCGCATCTTGCAACTTTTATTTGAAACTCTTTTCTATATAGCTCTCTTTGTTACTAAAATATTTGAACTGTTTAAAAACGTCAATTAATTTTTTTCAAAATATCGAAGAAGTGTGGCAAAATTATGAGTATGTACTATATACCTACTGAAGAGCAGCAATATATTTTGTAGATTCGAGATGAAGAAGTATAGCTCTGGTAGTGAAAGATAAGAAACGTGGCGAAGAGCGAAAGGAGGAAGAAAGTAAGATGGGAATAGGTAATTCTGAATTATTAAAAATACAATGGAAGTAAAATGAAACAAAATTGATTGGTGAAAACAGAATCAGATAACCGAGAAGACGTTGAGGAAAAAAATATATGGATATTGGGCATAGAGAGAAAAGGGGAGACGCAAGAAAAAGAGCACAAAGATTATATGTTGGAGCGCGGTAGAGGTAGTAAGAATACATTTCTGGGATGTTGAACTCGATTTGAAGTATGTAGTAGAATTGCTGGAAAATGATGAAAAAATGAAGAATGGGATACCCAAAGAGTTGACATAAAATAACTAATCCGCAGAGGGATAAAAAAAGAAGAACGAAAAGTGGTGCAATAACAATTAGTTAGGAAGTAGAGTAAAAATAATGAGAGATAACGATTAACGATTTACAATTTTTATTTATTTGATTTAAAAAAAAATGATAATTAGGGGGTCAGGGGGGATTATGAATAGTATCAATGGGAAAGGATCAACAATAGATAAAGAATGCAGCCGAGAGGGAGAATTGTTATTAGATGGACAGAAAGAGTAGGAAGGATAATCACAAACATATGGAAGGTGCACATAAAGGACAATACGCATATGATAGTGGGAAGGCGGCCGCATTATAATAAATTATATAATAACAATATAGATGAAATAGATATAGGTAGGAACAACAATGGAATCCAATCTCTAGTTAGCTATAGCGATCGTTTTATAAAGAAAAATAAGATGAGTAAGCACGTTTTAACGACACAAAAACGAAAAGCAGTACAGATATATGAACCAAGAAAGTGTCAAGAATTATAAAAAAAGGCCGGACAAACGAGAAGCACAATATAACGTCAGAATATAGAAGAGTGGCACAAGAAGGTGAAGGATGTAGGCAAATACCTACTAGAAATGCAAAAAAAAGACAAATAAAGAAAAAAATGATGGATCATGGGAATTATGGAAGTGAAAAATAGATACAAAACAACGATGGAAAGAAAGGGAACGGCGTGTGTATGAGAATATGAAAAAGAAATCAAGGGATTCAAAACAGAGTATTCTTAATAAATAAAGTAAGGGGAAAATACAAGAAGATGGGAAGAACAAAAATACAGCTACAACTGACAAAAGCACTTTATCAAGGTGCTATAAGAAAAGCAGAGAAGGGTAGATGAGGGGACAATGAAAAATTAGGCAAGAGATGGGGCCAATTAAAAAGGCTTCCGAAAGAAAAGGCGACAGTGAAAGATGGCATAGAAAGCAATAACCTAATAAAGAACATAATATAAAGGAATAATACATACAAGATGTGGGAGGTAGGAGAGTGGAGGGAAGAAATAGTAGAAAATACCCATTTGGTGCGATGATTACTGATGCAATGGAAGTGTTATAATGGAACCGGAAACAGAACACAAAATATGTTTCTGCGGAAGCAGAAGGGTAAATATGTACTATTACAAATTTGATAAAAACTAGAATTTATATTTTATTTTATTTTATGCGATAAAAACACGAATTGTTGCTGACTTAAGATACTAACGAGATGGTGAAGGTAAACAAACGCGACACGTCTAACAAAGCCCCTGCCCGCGGCTCACGTCAACTCCGAAGTTAAGTCTCATGCTGTTCTTTGGTTATGCAGGTATGGAAAAAAATTATTGCGGCCTGCGGGTCTGACTTATGAGATAGAAAGAAACCCAATAAGCACTATGTGTGCTGTTCTAATACATGCGACTTTTGAGCATGCTACTATGCACGACAAGCCAATAATAATAACTAGCCATTAAAAAAAACACAAAGGAAAGATTTCAGGAATACTAATTGCACGTCAAACCATGACAACTCGCAATGAACGTGTCTGATGGAATCCCAAAATTCTCTTGAACAGTTGTAACATTTTTGTATATACGTATTGTATATATTTACCAGAGGTTTTAAATAAAAATAAAGCAATATGAAATATCAACCTAATTTTAATATTACTTTTAATTTAACCATATGCGATTCTAAAATAATTTAGACATTTTATTAGGAAAACGAAAAAGGACTCAAAATAAAAAAAGTTGGAACAGATTTATTTTTTACTAAAAAAACAAATGTTCACAAACGAGCTTAACATCGGAGTTATCATTTTAAATAAAAATATAAGTTATGAACGTGTCTTTGAAAATTAAAATTAATTAAAAGTTTGTAAAAATAGTCAAACAAACGAAGTATATATGATGGGAACACCAAGATGGAATAAATAATGGAAATCTTGATGTATAGAAGCAAAACCACTGCAAGATGTTATATGGTAATTTATTTATTTGCAAATTTCTCTTGTCCGAAGTATACGTTGCTTTCTGAAATGGAAAACTGAAATGAGTCTCTCGATTAACCAAATAAGTCTCACAGAGTTTTGGTTCTTGGAGAGGCTTTGACAGAATAAGACAAAACTACAACTTTTACAAGTTTATTAGATAATACGTAACTTTTACAAATTTTGGAAATACAAGTGAAAATAATACGAAATTTGTTACATATTCGTAATTAGAACCTTTCCAGAAGCCAACTAAACCCTTGAAGAGACCATATGAATTAAGGGGCGGCAACCCGACAAATATACCACTAATTTGCGGGTTGCCGCCCCTGAATCGAAGGCTATAATGCAAATTCAACGAACTGCACATGCAGTCTCACTGTCACGTACTTAAATTATACTATTTATACACTAAATCTAGAAATAATTACAATGGTTAATACAAAACCAACTAACTGAATTAATCCAAGAAATGATAAATATAAAAACTGCACACTGAATAGTTTATGTAGGTCAAACGACCTCACAGCGCTGAGACACGGCGCCGTCCTAAAGCAACGTGATGGCGCACAATACTTAGATAAGACGCAATTGGAGCACAGAACACCTAATACTCACACCATAACAAACTCTAGGCAACGTCGGACACAGCAGTAAAACGCATTAGATTAGATCGGCCACGTTCATCGGCATTTCGTCTATATGTGTGTTGTAGAAATGCTCAATATCCTTTAACGTACGTTTATCGTCTTCTGTGACGAAGTTGATGGCAACTCCTTTACGACCGAATCGTCCACCACGACCAATCCTGTAAAGTAATAACCAATTTTAACAGTATTCGTGACAGTTAAGCTTATAGGATTTAAGATTTTAATGTGTGGAAGCGCTTCAAAGACAGACAAAACAGAGGTCCTAATATTTAAGGGTTTCATCCCTCAGTTATCATGTAACACTAGTAACCAAAATTCTATAAATAATAAAAATTAAATTCTGAAAGATCGGAAATGTATAATTGTATACATTTATAAGTTATTGAAATTTCGACAATCAAGGTGAGCAATGAACCTAGATTTGCTACTGCATTCTTGTGCTACTTTTACTTGTGTAAAATGCCTATTAACAATGATCATGTATTATTGAATGTTTCAAAGCGGGTAACAAAAATAGATAATCAATGACCATGACACAAAAATAAAATACCATTAGTGTTGTAAAATGCTCAAGCATTTATCATTTGAACAAATTCTCTCGCACTTCGGGTGTTATCAAAATTATAAAATTTGTTCTGCAAGCAGTCTCTCACCTTGATAAATTAAGTCTATAGTTATTGTATCAGAATCGAAAAAAACATCAGAATTATAGATACATTGATGAACATGAAACATAAACATAGCATTTTATAAACAAGTACTCATTGCTCCATTTTGCAAGTGTAGACAAACTGCAAAAGTCAAGCACGCGTATTGCGTATTGGCGTTGTTAAAAAATGTAACCTAAGATTAGATTTGCCATGGGCTGCATAATCACACTGTGCACATTTGAAATCCTTGGCAGTTAACAGATGTTTCTTAAAATGGAATTTTTTATTGGTTGCTTAGTGCACAAATTTGATTTTCTCTTAAAATAATATAACTATTTACCATTATTTTTACGTACTGTGGTACAAAATTAAAACATAAACTCAAAATACATAGTATATTCCTTAGAGTAAGAAATAAAGATAGAAAGATAGAGGACGCATAAGGTTTAATCTATAAACTGAGCTAAAAAATGCAGAAATTACATTTTGTAGAAATAAACAGAAATCCTCTCATGTGTCAAATTGCTACAGCGTTGCCGTCGTGACACACTAACAATCATACATTTTCTTATTAAGCTGTTTAATTTTTTAACTTATAATTGTTTGTTTTGCACAACTCTTAAAAATCCATCTAGATCCTTTCAAATATATGTGTTATTAATATTCCCTTAAAAATAGTCTCGTGAAATGTGGCAAGTTCGCTTCCTGCAATGTTTACAAACATGACCAGATTGATGGCACCTTTTGATAAGCATCAAGGCATCTCTATCTTTATTTCTTACTCTGAGCTGAGGTATATTCACCTTATGCCAATCTATTTATCTTTATAGCACTGTGAAACGTATATAAATGAGTAATGTTTCAACTATACATAATACCATTTACTCTAATCAACCTTGTTTATACCAAAAAAGCATTAAACTAACGGTTCAAATTTTTTTTATGGAAATTTCTATGACTATTCAATTCATCTAACATTTGTCACATTTCAACCAGTGAAATGTCTCGATTTCAAATTGCTGCGCCAATGGGAACGAATTATAGTGATAATTGCACGTGTGATATTTCAGCGATAATTTCACGTGTGGTATTTCAGCGATAATTTCACGTGTGGTATTTCAGCGACAATTCAATGCGATTATTCAATGACATTTGTCAAACTTCCACCAGTGAAATGACGCGAAATTTTGTCGTATTAACCAGAACATTCACCACATCTTTTAATCTTTTAATTTAATCACTCATAACGAATTAGCTTGGAGCACAAAAGTTCGAATAGAATCAATAGCAAAAGGAAAAGCAACTTCCACAATTTATTTTGACGTTTATTGTTGTCATGGAAATACATTCGCGTGGGTAATTATGCTTAATTTTTCTTTTGATTCATTGAATAGTCCTCCGAATACCATTCGTAGTCGAAGTATTTGTAGATTATTTTTGAGCTGCTGCTCCACTCATGCTAGTTACGCTTTTTAATACCACTCGCGCAAGCGCTCGTGTTATTAATCAGCGTAACTAGCATTCGTGACAGCACCTCAAAAATATTCGACAATACTTCGACTACTTATGGTATTATATATGACAATTCAACTCATGTCTAAAAAATCGCATAAGCCGCAGTGGAATTGTCACTTTGACAGCGGCAAAAGTTACCTGCAACTTTTCCAGCGACAAATGCACTAGTGGTTTTTTCACTTATTCATTTTCGAACCAATAATCGCATTATCCTTACCCATATGACTAGTTTGACGTCTGTCAATAATTGATTAGTTTGGTGAATTTCTTGTTCATTAAATTGTCCTGCCGAATTACACTCGAGGTTTGTATTTAAACCGAGTAAATTTGGGTTGTTGCAATTCAAATCTGTTTCCTTTTAGCAATTGAACTCGAAAAACTGTCAACCTAAAAATGCTCCACCTGCGGTGTCGCATTTTTATTAGTTGACAGTTTTTCTCGTCTAATTGCTAGGCAACAGATTTTCATTACCTAAACAACCCAAATTTACTCGGTAAAATACAAACCTCTTGTGCAATTATAAGTGAGAATTTGAATTGTTTGGAAACCTTCACCTATCCCCGCCCACCAGTGACGTCGGACGGAAGGTAGTTCATTTGTACTTTAAATATCCAAGTAAAATGTTTACAGTGATAAATTAAATTTGTAAAAAAGAAGATATTTTTAGATACTTTTGAAGAATTCAGTCACTTTGGTGATCAGTTTTAATCTTCTGGCGCATGGTGAGTCAATTTAAAATGTAAAGCCCAAAAATGCAATTCCAATTAAAAGAAATAATAAATAATAACAAAATATAAAAAATCAAATGTCTTTCAGAAGGGAAATTTTTGATGAAATTGTATTTGTAAATTTAAATTTAAAAACAATAGTAAAAACTAGCAAAGAACTTCTATCTTCACTTTATGCCATGCTCCAACACTTCGTTTTCCAAAATACATTATATCTTCGAGGCTAGCGATACATCTAGGTCAGGAGTAGGCAACCTGCGGTTCGCGATGCGGTTCTTTTGATATAAAGTTGTAGCTCTCCGCATTTATCTAAAATAATTTGTTCATTTTTTCGAAATTCACCTCTTAATCGATCATTTTAAACTTTGTTGATGAAATACTGATCTGCATTACCAAAAATGCACTTTCATCATGCATGTGGTGTTTTACAGCTTGTTTATTATCACAGCCTACTCGAATGTATAAACATGTAATTAATTAATCCGTAGGTACTTCTGTGAAAAATATTGAATAACCTAAACTATGGGGACACCCTTATAAAAATTGAAGAGAACACAAAAGAAAATCGAATAGCGAAATAAGAGTGGTAGTTCCAGTTGAAAAAGAATAATTATGGCACTTTGAACAAATGACATTGAGACAAGTAAAAATATGCAGGATGTTCTATTTAAAAAATCAGTTATTTATTGACACTATAAAAATGAGACACCCTGTACATTCAAAAATGATTTCTCTAGATCCCCAACAATCTATACAGGCCGATTCAAATTTGAGGGCCACCATGGAGATCTTGGGAACTGTACCAGACAGATAGGTAGGTACTTCAAATTTGGAAAAGTTGCGTATTTTGATGCTTAACAAAAATTCAGTTTTGAAATTGAAAAAATTCCGACCACTTTCAGAGATACCCAGAAAAAACGAAATTTTGCAAAATCGTTTTTATTTTTTCCTAAAGTTATTTAAAAATATATTTCGAATTAAATGACACATTATTATGGCCACTTTTTCCCCTCTACAAGATGCTACATTTAACTTCATTTATTTTGAAATATCTTTTTAAATAACTTCAATGTTTCTGCAATAGGGTCCTCAAACTTTCTGCAAGTACCATAAGATGTGTGAAACGCCGAAATGATGCTTTGCAGAATGAGTTTTGGAATTTTTTAGGGAACCAAATGAACAAATAACACGCTCTCTGGAGCTTGCCATGTTTGTCCATGCACAGAAAAAGCATTACGAACTGCATGCGAAAATTCACCCTTCCCCACAACAATTTCGGAATGTGATCGCAGTTTAAAAACGATTGAATGTGCGCCATAATGGTCTAGTGGGCGACTCCGGTTTGATTCTTTGCAAAGTTTTTTTTTCTTACAAACATGTGTATCCTAATTCAGCGGAGTTGGATATTTGGAAGCCATACAAAAATGATGCGGAGTTGTCAGAAGAGATATCTCGTCTGCTATTTAAGAAATGGGTGGCACACAAGGTGTGACCTTGGAAGTGTAATTTTTTTTTTTTTGCACACAAATGCTCAATCTTTCTGCAGTGTTTACTTTGTTTCTGTCGCCTGTTATTCAGCCTTGGGGCTAACAGGTACAAATTCTGGTCAAACCAGTCACACAGTTCTGGACATGTATCAAGTTTAGACTATAATGAAGAACCACAAGTTTAACAAAGAAAATTAAATTGTTTGTATGGAATGTATTATCAGTGGAAAAAATGCTGTCTGCCTTCTAAGAGTATAGACTCCAAAGTTCAGTCCTATTTGAACTGATCGATTCAATGAATTGTTTCTTCATGTACCTACATGGTGGAAATGGGAAAAAATGTTGAGCAAATATTGTACTGGTTCTTACAACCCGATCTTTTTTAAAACTTAAATTACATCCTGGATATTGATTTGATTTTTTTGTTTAGCATGTATTTCAGTTTTACTTTTTTCAAGAACTCATTTATCATTTACTAGTTCTGGAGGCCTGTCATAGGAAGGGATATGAATATATGAAGTGGACCCCTGGGGCCCAACTCGTTTGGTATTAGTATTGATAGATCATTGAACTATTACTACCAAATCAATGTGATCGATAAACTAAATTGCAATGTAATATTTTATAATCCCCAGTTCTGCTCTGAATTAACATGAACACCGGCCTTTTGTATACTTTCATCTATCAAAAATGTGAAATTGCATCCATAATAAGCAGCAAACTAGTAACAAAAAATAAAATGTTTAAATAAATCATTAATCCAATGGCACCCCTTGATTTTTGCTGATCATGCTGGCATCATACTATTAACAACTTACGTTGAATTTTCATAAACGCCTATTATGCAGTGTCCACACTTTTGATAATAGTGATAACAAGGATAGAAGTGGTCATTACATGGAGTCCTTTAGCAAATATTAAATAACCCAATAAAGGAACTGAAAAAGAAGCAGCAAATTCTTACAATCACCTTTAGAACATTAAAACAAGAAAAAGAATGCATTGTATCCTCCTTGCAGTGTTTTTCGTTTTCATTTTACTTATTTTCTTGTTTCTATAATAAACTTAAGCCAAATGAGGTCTTTTTTTATATACCTGCTTCCACACATTAAACCGAGTCAAAAGACAAGAATAACACTGATACCCATTCCATCTTTTTACCCGGTGATAAGTAGAGGTGAATAGAATTGTTAGTGAATAGCAAAAATCTCTTACCTATGAATATAATTTTCTCTATTTGAAGGTAAATCATAATTAATTACAAGCGAAACTTGCTGAACGTCAATTCCTCGAGCCAACAAATCTGTTGTAATTAAAACGCGGGATGATCCACTTCGAAATTGCTTCATAATAACATCCCTTTCCCGTTGTTCCATGTCACCGTGCATGGCTGAAACGGTAAAATCACGTTTGTGCATACTCTCCGTAAGCATATCCACCTTACGGCGGGTATTACAAAATATTACAGCTTGAGTTATAGAAAGAGTATCGTACAAGTCACAAAGAGTTTCTAATTTCCAGTCCTCACGTTCAACATACACAAAAAATTGTTTAATGCCTTCCAATGTTAATTCTTCTTTTTTCACTAAAATCTGGACGGGGTTCCTCATGAACGATTTCGTTACATCCAAAACGTCGCTGGGCATTGTTGCAGATAGTAGGATAACTTGTACGTCCGTATTTAGCATTCTAAAAACGTCGTGAATTTGGTCTTTGAAACCTCTAGATAACATTTCATCGGCTTCGTCCAGCACAAACATTTTAATGTTGTTGGTACGCAGAGCTCGTCGACTAATCATGTCGTATACCCGTCCAGGTGTACCGACGACAACGTGCATCCCCGTTTCCAATTTACGCATGTCTTCGCGTACATTCGTGCCTCCAATACATGCGTGGCATTGTGCCGACATAAAGTCGCCCAATGCGATGACCACCTTTTGTATTTGCTGCGCCAACTCTCGAGTCGGCGCCAAGATTAATGCTTGACACTCTCTAATTGACGTATCAATCTGTTGTAAAATTGATATAGAAAATGTAGCTGTTTTGCCGGTACCGGACTGTGCCTGCGCAATCACATCATGTCCCTTCACGCACGGCATGATGGCTCTTTGTTGGATAGCGGAAGGCTTCTCGAAACCATATGCATAAATTCCCCTAAGCAGTTCTTCTTTTAAATTCATATCGTCGAAGTTGTCGACGACTTCTTCCCAATTCGACTCGATGACACCATCGGGGTTCATACCCGGGGGCCCATCGTACATCTGATCTTTCTCGCTGTCTGGCCCATTCTTGTCGCCACTCCATTCCTCGTTCCTAAGAACAAAAGTATTAGCATGACTCATACGAAACATATGCAAGGTTATAGTTTCCAAATTAACCAATAAGTTACCAAAATGTGCCAAAGTTACACTGCACTCACAAATCAGCCATTCTCGCTTAAAAAGTGCAATTTTATTAACACCCCATGGAAAAATCCGGCGTGGAATTTCACGTGGATCAGAAACAGCATGCAAATAATCATTCAAAACTCTTTTTATGGGAAGGTTAACGGGACATAAAATATTGCACCTATTTTTAGTATCACGTTATTCGTGCAAATAGCTTTTACTAATCCTTCTTTTCATATTTCGATGGGCTAAATTTAAATATTTCACGCTATCGAACTTCTCTCGCCATGTTGGCAAGGGAATCGTGAGAAATATTGCCGAATTACACGAGGAGTTATTAGTTAAGTATGGATGTCTTGGCCTCAAAATCGGTTCTAAATGAAAATTTAAAGCTACATTTACAATTTAGGTGTTATATTTTAACGAACTAACGCTCTATTTAACAAAAAAACACTAAACTTACCTCGTCTCCGATTGATAGGACATGTTTTAGTAGTGATCGCTGAAAGTAAAAGACTTCTACTAATCGCCGCAAGGTGTTATATTCCTACACTCGATATGAAGTATTGCTTACGATAAAGGATATTTTGCTCTTGTAGAACTGTTGATTTTTTTCTAAATTGCTTATTTACTTTTTGTAAAAATTGATACGATGTGTGGTAAATATACGCAAAAAATTTAGTGTGATTATTTTTCGGGCGGAGTATTGACGGTTGCTGTAGTTTTCCGATACTGTGCGCGAGGTGCGCGAAAATTCAAATGACAAGTATTTTGACAAATCCTTTGGGAAGCATATTATTTAATTCATTTATTTTTAAATGACATTTCTGTACGTTTGGAACCGTCAAGATTAATTGTAACGTTGTCAGGAATATCTAATTTAAAATTGAAACGCGTTCTGGCTGTAACGATTAGGTAATTAACTTGTTTCTCGTAATTGTCGTACGAGTATTATTTTAGCACTTTTTTTTTGCACCAAGAAAGCCATGGTTTACAATACAATGCGATCAAAAATGATTGGCTCTCTAGTCGCCTTTGGAATTTTTGTTTACATGGGAAATCGTATCTAACTTGAACTTCCAATGGCGACTCGACAGCTAATCATTTTTGATCGCCCGATATATCTGTGCAATAATTTTGATGTATCAAATAGCATTCTTTGATTTATGAGTGACATTATAAAATGCACCTTGTGCAACCATCACATTGTTTTGTTTCAAAATGAAAATGATTGCCAAAGTGTCATGGGTCATGGGTGCATGGGTGGGTACCTATTTTCAATTAGATTATTATCTTTTCACCCAACAGATGCAGTTAAGCTCCTCTTAAAAAATTCTCGCCACATTTATTTTATTGGTCAAATTTATACACTATATTGCACTGTCGCGTCGGGGAGTAGGTACATATTCGGCCCATCATGTGATTGGAGCAATATGAAGCTGGGTACTCATTGACGAACCAAACTGCCTTAGTATAATGTTGTAGTAAATATAGTGTAGGGATTTTATAAATGTTTTACTTTCAAAAATCGATAGGGTGGTTATCAAAATAGTATATTAAAGTACAAGTGTCATTTGACGAAGATTGTCGCACGAGGTAGTTTGCCGCATAAGCCGCGTAGCGGCGAATGCGGCAAAAGCCGAGTGCGACAAGTAGACAAATGACACGCGTGCTTTATACTATTTTTTCTATTTCGACTTTATTTTAAATAATAAATTATACAAATTATAAATATTGCCTTTAGGCGTTGTTAGGTAATTTTAAACCTCGTTTTAAACTATCATTCAGTGTATGTTGGTAATAGACACAGTTAATTTATTTTCACGTTGGCTAACCTGATTCCTGTATTTTCAAACTTCAAACTTTTAATTATTTGGTCATAATTCCATTTTGCGGCAGTTATGATGAATACGGATGACAAACACGTCTCTTGTACATACCCCACCAGAGATCCAAGAGATTGCCAATGAAGCGACGTTAAATTTACTGCCTGTGAAATCGAAAGTAAAGTACGAGGAGTACAACATTTTTGAAAACTGGCTGGCCGAGAATGGAGTTCAAAAAGTAAGCAAGAATGTACTGGCGGCATATTTTACTACGCTAAGTAAAAATTAAAAAAAGTTCTACCCTTTGGAGTATATATTCAAAATTAATCGGAATTAATACAATCGGTCAAGTTCCTCGTACGTTATTTACACTTTACAGGGTATGTTTAGTTTTGATTTGACGGATACCGTTGACGGCAGAAAAGCGAGGGGTACCAATCCAACAAAATAAAAAAAATAATACGTTTCTATTTCTTTCAGCATCATTTCTGTCTAGAAACGCACGCAAACTGGGCCAATCAAGTACGGTTTCTGTATTGTTTCCACATCGAAATAGAAAAAATGTTTTTTTGAAATGTTTGATCAATCGCTATTTGATTATTTGAAAAAATAAAAAATAATAAATAGAAATGTTTTAGAGAGCTGGAAGTTATGAGTACCAGGCAGATGCGCATAATTTGATTTGACAGAATTGGTGTGTACTGTACTCTGTTTGCGCTTGATATTATACGTAGTTGATTTTATTTTAAAAAAATTATCAAAGTCCTCGTGTGAGATCGAAGGGACTTCAGCGCATTTTTGTGTGGCAGATCAGTGTTTTATTAGCCAATATTGACTCCACCATCAATAAGATCTTGCCGAAAGCTACCACGTTCACTTTGTCGGTACCATTTTCTCACTTACCGTGCACTCGCAATTCGCGTTTGAAGTTTTGACTCCACCATCAGTAAGATTTGTCGATACACAGTTCCGACGTCCCGTTCATTCGTAATTCACATTTTGGTAGATTTCGCTAAAATCCCGGCATAAAATCGTATTCAACTTTTGGGTACTTCACATAGCTCGACCTTCTATTAGTGACACGAGAAAGAGAGACCGCGATTCGCGCTGTAAGAAACTTTTGGGCGCCCAAAGTCGACTACCCCTCGAAGCGCGCCGCGCAAAAGGTGGTTTATTTCGCCCCTAGGAAACAGAAACAAAATTCCGCCACGCAGGAGTTGTGCGCGTTGACAAGATCTTCCCGACGACACCAATTTGAAAACAATCGGGAAAAACTGTAGAAGAAGATAGATAAAAACTGAAAAATCTCCAGGTTAGTATAATACGCTCGGGGATGGCGTCCAGATGTCGTCGACTCCAAATCGTTCTTAATTACACGGCCCCGATATAGTTACATGTACACTCCTTGTCTTTTTACAAGCGTTTTTCTACGGGCGCGCATTTACTGCCAGCCAGCCAGCCAGCCAGCCAAAGCGAGATTAAAAGCTACTTTTTACAAAAAAAAATTTTTGCAAAAATGCGCTAAAAATTGAATATAAAGTAGTACCTACTACTTATATATGTAGCAAAATAAGTTATTTTATAGGGGTGTTGATGCTGTCTGTGAACACGATAACTACCAAACGCTTGAGCCGGTTCGGTTCGGTAGTGTCACACCGAGAGGCTATGCTTCGTCGCTTTTTTAGAGGGGTTACTTTTCTTTACAATTGACATATGCTCGAGCGTTGAGTGAAGACATCAGATAGAAACGCAACCTCTCCAGATAGTAGTCACTTATCTCTTATTAAACATTTCCGTTCTCTATCCAACGTATGTACCTACTGAAACGCCGACCAGAAACTTGACGTGGGAATCTGAGATTTGATAAGCGCTGGGCAAATCTCAGAACCTACGACGATTTCTAGTATATGCATTGCGCCTCTCGATTCCTTCAATCAACGGTACGAATATATGTTGGTATTTTTAATGTAGGTAACTATATATGAAAAACTGACACAACTTGTGTGAAATTTAACAGAGTTCTACCATAGGCGGTTCATTTGAAAGCCAATGAATGGGGCAAGAATCTCGCTGCCTATCGCCATTTCTTTCCGGCCTTACGCCCCAACACACTCATTGCGGCATCTCTCTCTTAATTTGAGTGATTTCATATACTTACAGCAAGTTTCAAAAAATAAGCAGTAGGTTAAAAAATGTGCACTATTTGTATACTAACTCACCCTTGTGCTAGACATGCTGGTGCACTGACTGACATGAGTCAGTATACAGAGTGGCCCAACGAGAAGTATACAGAGGGCTTTTAGGGTATTAAATTTAGAAATTTCGGAAAATCCTCGAACACGTCAATTTTGTATTCGAGGGGGATAACCTTTGGAATACAAATCACGAACCCAAGTCTTCACCCCTCCACGTAGGGAGCCTTAACCCCTAAAATTTTAAATGGAATCCTATGGCAAATGGCACATTATTTGAAAGCCAATTTAATCGTGATTACTAATCTGCTTTGCTTTTTAAATTCTATTGATTCGTTTCTGAGATATTCGCATTTGAAATGGTTTCTTCTAAAAAACAACACAAATGCGATCTAAGTCACCTTGTATTAAAAAAGGTTTAAATTGTGCAAAAAATAACAAATAACTTTAAACAGACAACATTTATTTCAATAAATGCTCAAATTGCCTTCCGCCTGCTTCCATGCAATAATAAAGGTTTGCTTCAAAACATTGCCGTACATGTTGCAAGATTTCAGGAGTAATCGCTCGAAATTGTTGACACTGTAGTGTACTTAACCCCCAGGTTCTACGCTCACTTCACACTACAAGAACACGGAAATAAAATAAACCCGGCAACGTTTTAAAAAATGGCCACCCGAATGACTATTCCCTCTAAAACTAAACAAGATCCCGCTTAAATTTGAAAAGTGGCACGTGATAAAACATCTAAGGCAGGGCCCCCTTACGTTAGTTGTAGACAACGCTTTGACCTGAAGCACAGTAGGGAAGGAATTTTAAATAAAACACTGAAATTGTGAGAAGTTTGTTTAATAATGATCGTAATTATTATGATTGTGAAAACCCGGAAATTTAGTTGATGTACATTAATATAAACAAAACAAACAAAGCCAAAAGGTGTCGTACTCTCGCAAAAGTCACTGCCAAGGATAAAAAGAGTACGACGTAAGAAAAACCTTGCAGTTTGATTAAAACAGTCCAAAAGTTAATTAACAAAATATTTTGTAAAAGTTTAAGCAGTAGTTAACAAAGATAGTAAATGCATATACACAAGGATGGTTACACTCAAGGTTAAAAGCAAGTTTTTGGGGACAATGGGTCAGGTAGAAGCAGGTACCAAGATTCTGAGAAAGGGTTAAAAGTACAGGATGTGACTCATCTTTGGTGCAATAAAGTCCTTTTGTTGAAAGCAAGATGGAAAACTACATGGCCTTGTAGGCAAATTTGACTAAAAACAAAATATGTGGAAATTATTGAATCGCCACTCATTTATCACACATAGATTCTAAACTGAAGAGCTTTGATTAGCGTAATCTCGCTCCTGCAAGATGGGTAGTCCGCCCCTGGTTTCGGGGTTTCGAACCTACAGTTGGATGTCGAAGACAGTGCACGGAATTAGGTGCCCTAACACATAATTATATACTACAGTTTCTTTTTCCACCTTCCCGAGACTGCTTCATTCACGGAGAAAATTGTTAGTAACATACAACAAGTCAGTACATACATCAAACGAATCAGCAATTTCCACATAAGTATTAAAATAAAATGAAAACTTATATGAATGTAACTTCAAAGACAAGACCAAGTAATCAACATCAATAAACATAAATTAAGCAAACATTACACCAAAAATGTAAACAATTAAAAACAATAGCATAACGGTATCACACATATATGATTGCATTGCGGTTAAACAAAGCAAATTTCAAAAACAGAGATTCAAACACACAACAAATATAAAATGCGACATACAAAACACAAATACGATATAAAGAAATGCAAAAATTACTACCTGCATTAAATAACACAAAATAACAACAAACATTTATGGAGCGAAACGTTCACTACCTCCATTCAAGACCAGATGCCAAACGTAACTCCCGTTCGTGCTTTCTAGGTGGCGCAGGCAACTTTTTTTCCCACCTAGAAATTGCATGGTTGCCAACTCTCAAAAATGTATGTATCGTCGTAAGCTGTATATACAGGGTGGAACCTTTCAACACCATAGTGTATTCTATTCTTACACTATGGTTATACGTGCTCGCAACCCTTGTAATGTTCCGGGCGGAGTAGCATAAACTTTATTCTTTAAATATCCCCACAAGAAGTAATCTAAAGGACTTAAATCAGGGGAAAAAACCATTTCAAATGCGAATAACTCCGAAACGAATGCATAGAATTTAAAAAGCAAAGCAGATTAGTAATCACGATTAAAATGACTTTCAAATAATGTGCCATTTGCCATAGGATTCCATTTAAAATTTTAGGGGTTAAGCTCCCTACGTAGAGGGGTGAAGACTTGGGTTGGTGATTTGTATTCCAAAAGTTGTCCCTCTTGAATACAAAATTGACGTGCTCGAGGATTTTTCGAAATTTCTAAATTTAATACCCTAAAAGCCCTCTGTATACTTCTCGTTGGGCCACTCTGTATATGTCATATTTTCCGGTGGTGGGCCAAAATTACGTGGAGATCCGAATTTTTACGTATCGTTGTATTTATGTTGTGTGCCACCTTGGGATACCTACATAGCATTTTGGAGGAATGTTGGCAAAATTGGAAAGAAAATACCTTACAATGCCTTCTAAACACACGCATATTACCTATATGATCAATGGTGGTTGAAAAACATTATAAGACGCTGAGTTGTTAAGAGACGGTTTCGCGCTAGTGCTTCATATCCTGTATTTGGCTGAAATGAGGGTGGCCTAAAGTTATATGTCAATCGATGCCTCTTTTCAGTTTACAACAAGGCGTAAAATAAAGACAAGTGTAGGAACTACGAAGCAATATCGTGGAAGAAAGAGCCTCATCTCAGGTTATCACACTTCCACTAGAGGAGTCGCGCGCGTAAATCGAAATGGTAAGTGTGGTATGGTAGACGCTTTGATTAGTATATAATCAAAGGGTAGACGGAGTCAAGGCTGTTCACGTCTTTCTTTCTTACACTGCATTACCACAATATGGTTGCACAATTTAGCTAGCAGCGCTCCTATACCCCTCTTTGTTTTACACAAATACTGCTTTCCATCTGAGTGAAAGAGGAGCTCTAAGCTGTACCGTGCACGATGTCCTGTGTTCTTTCGAGCTCTGACGCGCCCGAAATTGGATTGCCCTTGTCCCCATATGCACCACCTATTCGTTTGGGGCTTGAAACAATTTTGTCGTTATTTAGGTACTGTGAATGTCAATTCAAATGTGTGCAAAATGAGCTGCTCCGAACGAACTGCACCAGAGCTTCGCGCACTCAAATGGAAAGCAGTAAATGATGCTACAGATTCTTGTATAATCTTACGTCAGGAAAGAGGCAATGCGGTGCAGTCTAATAGCCAGACTAAGGAACAGATCTATGAATTCCACTCATTGCTTAGTTAGGTAGGCTATTTATTTGTTTTAGTTTTACAAAAACCTTAAATACGAACTGAAAAAAAATAAAGTTCATTGTACTTTCCGTTTAATTTTCACATTAAAGCAGTCTTTTATTTTGTACTGAAATACTATACATTCAAAATGGCAACATAAGTAACATAACACAAATATAAACTAATTCTGATCAAATATCATAAGGCATAAAATAAATGCTTTGGGATATGTATTATAAAACAATAGTAACGATAAAACATAATTATTATTAGTGGCAAAAAATATTAAAAAGTTGCGTTGTAATACAAGGGAAGTTCCAAAATAATTCTAAAACTAAAGTGAAAGACTGTTTAGGAGAGCGGCAAACACAGAAATCTTACGCTAAAACTTAATAGTAGTTATCACAGATAGATGTTATTAGAGATAAACGTTAAGTCCTTTCTTTATCATGCAGTACATACAATATAGTTACTAATGTTACAATGAGAAATGGTGGGTTTATACCTACAATCATTATTATTAGTTGACAATCAGAAATCATTAAGAAATAGCCAATAGAAACAAAGGTTTTTGGCGCGTTGCTAGCCAACGAAACCATCCTGAGCTTGGTGGACTAATGATAATGATTGTACAAAGCGATAAAAAATGAGTGACCGTCGAGTCACCTTTGGAAATTTTGTTTACAAGGGAAATCGTACTTAACTTGTACTTCCAAAGGCGACTCGACAGTCACTCATTTTTGATCGCCCGATATAAACCCACCATAAATCTTTTAGCAATTACACTGGATTAAGGTCGATTCGGTCTAATACACACAAAAACGTCCTTATGTATCCTTTTAAATGTACAACATCAAAGCATTACTGAATTTAGGTCAGATTTTCGAGAGTTTAAATAGCATGTATCGTCCCATTGGGACTAAAGCTTTAAACATTTAGTACTTATTTTATGATAATCTCTGAATTAAGGATGTGCATTGTGCACACATGCAAAAGGTATAATAAATAAAACATAAAAATGATGCATATATTCTTCACTGTAATGTAAATTGTTTCTCAAGTAGTGCTAAATGCGTGAATCAGTCTCTTAGAAATTTAAGTTCTTGTTTAATCCTATACCAAATCATATACATTATTGCAAATTGCTCAATTCTCTAATCATCTGATGTCCATTTAAAAGGATTCATAGAAGAATAGGTATTCTCTTAAATGAATATGTGTATGTTGGAAGCACAGGGTGTTCAATTTTCGACACTTTTATAAGGTATCTCTGTAGTTGTTAGTGGTATCAAAAAAGTAATATAGGCGTCATGTGCTGGTGTGTTATATTTTTGACGTGAGAATTTAATATGCTATCTTATTAGATTAAAATATACAGTGTTCCACTACAAAAAATGATGTTAGGTCCAATAGATTTTATACCTGACTCTGTATATTTATTTTGAAAATGGAAAATTGTTCAACAATAATTTTCAAGAGACTTTTGTAATAAACATTTTTCTGTCTCTTTTTTAACTAACAAAATATCAGGTCATTCTGAAATTGAAATTTTTTTGATTTTATCCTGCATCTCTTTTCAAATTTTGATTTCACCATTTTAAGTTTGACCCAGAAAGAGCACATGACGCATATACGCTTTTTTTGGATAGCATAAACAATTACCCTATAAAAGTATAAAAAATGGAACACTCTGTAGATAAATAAATGTTGTACAAATTTGTCTACCTACCATGGAGCATTGTAAAACACCATTTCTCATATAAAGGCACATGCTAAAATAAGAAACATTATGGCAACAGGAAAAATAATGTATATCGACATTCTGGGTTGACAAGTGCTAATTAGTATTGTGTCATTTTGCTGGTATACTATACCTTCCTTCGTGGGAACTTCCACTATTACAGTCTCATCTGTCCAAAATTCCATAGGAAACACACATTCTGTGATATTGTTGCACGTTTTTGCTTCTGACCCAGTAGGGACCAATAGTGTCGGTTTGTGTATATCAAACACACCGTAAATATCATTCACTTCCCTATCATTATCCGAGTAAAAAATGTAATAGTAATACCCATCAGACACAATGCTATGAATTGTTTCCATTCGTTCCCCATTTTCTAAATAATGAGTGCCTGTACACAAATGGCTCGGGGGGAAAGCTTCGGTTAGGAGGATTTGCCCATTGTAGCAGTCTAATAGGCTAGTTTCAAAACTAGATGCACTAGTCTCCTCTGAGCTGCTGTCAGTAAAATTAAGAGCGTTTCCGCCGTGCTCAATTTTTGTATCAAGAAGGTGACCGGTGTCTCGTTTCACTCGATTCACCTTGTCTTTGTCATCATCCACCAACAGATCGTGCTGCAACTCGTCCTTCGTAATTTTAGAAGAGTGATGTTTTGTTTTATCAAGTAAGAGATCTTCTGAATGAGGATGAAAATCGTCCACAATTTCTCCTCCATCCATTAATGGGGGTTCGGTCAATATGTGATCTTTTGCATCTTCGGCAGACTCAAAGGTGACTTTAACCTGCTTGTATTCACGGTGCATTGTTGCGCCAATTTTGGAAAAATTGCGTTCCATTAATCCGCATGTTTGTAGATTTTTCTCACCTCTAACGACCAATATTCGTGCGCCATCATAACGTGAGCACACTTTCAGGTTAACAGTAGCGCCTTTTAACAAATAAAATCCCCAATACTCTAAAGTGTCGTCTGGGAGAGACATTGCTTTACGAAGACGTATATGCTTACGTTGATCACTTAAAATGGGCGATTTATGCAGTTGTATAGCGTTAAACGTGGCGTTCATTTGTAAGCTGTGTGCTGCACAAAAGATGGATGATATTCCATTTTTTATCTCGACCACGTCGGATTCAGTTAGGGCATACGGAACGTCAGCAAATACAACATGTCGAAGATATAAAGGGGTAATAATTAGTGCTGCAGGTAGAACTGTTGTCATTATGCAGAAGACCACAACGCGTTTGACTCCATGCATGCTCCCAATTTCTGAAATGTAACAAGCATTAAAATGATTCGAAAAGATATTGCAATCGTTTTACATGGTTAAATATGAACTGAAAAAAACTACATCCATATCTAAAAATCAAGTTTAAATTGGTTTGGAAAACTGATAAACTTTTATGCATAAACTTGGAATTGATAAACACATTCTTGCACAATGTTCAATGTTTAGGTTTTGAGGTTATGTTTATTGCATACAAAGGTGCATAACCTCTGAACTACCATTGATTGGCTCTACTTCTACGTTTGAACTACGCCTATTGCAAAAGTTTTCTAGAATACAAGCCAAAAGTACTGCCATATTGTGTAAAATATACAATGGTACTGCCAAAGCCAAACCATAAACCATTGATTATACACACTAACAATCAATGGCCAAACCCAAAAGTCTCACTACGAAATAAATCAGTGAGCGGCTAAAATATGGCACAAATTCATTTAAAATCAGGGTTTCAAAAAAATCGCTCGCACACATTATACCTAAAGAGACCTGATTTTTAAATGAATTTATTCTATGTTTTAGTCGCTCACTGTAGAGACTATCAAATTCAAATGAATTTACTAACGAATGAATAGCAATAGCTATACTCCACCAAACAAAAAATGAATGTCTAAATTTATTCATTAAATTTTAAGTTTTTAAGTCGATAGATTGAAAATAGAAACAATAAATACAAGATATAGTAAGAACGTTTATTATATTTGCGATGGCGGAGATAGGAGCGTAGAAAGTAGGTACTCGAAACGTGTAGAACAATTCTTTGACCATATACGCACTGGTTTTCGGTAGCGTAAGCAAAATACTCATCAGCTCTGGTGCAAACCACCACCACATAATCGGCAATTAAAAGTTGGATCAGTAATCATATGATGTCGCGGAATGTAAACCAGCCACATTTGTTTTAATGGCACCTGGATTGCGGTGAAGAAAGTAATGGACAACGTCAGTCACAATTTTGGAAGGGAAGTACAAAGGGGAAGACGTTTTGATTTCACGCATCCCTAATGGTTCCAAACGACATGCCATTCGAATTCAAACGGCTCCAATTTCCAGATGCGTTTCCAAGGTACGGTAAATAAATCACAAAAGGCAGCCCATAAGTGTTTGTGAGATAAATCTGGAAAAACCGTGTTTTTCACATAGTCAATTGCATGTCGCCTGTTACCGTGTCGAAAAACTTTCAACATTATTTATTTACACCTCAAAAAACAAAACTAACAATGTTGTGCCTTAAAAAGTATTACAATAGGTACTGACACATGTTTTTGAAATAATCTTTTTTATTATTTATTCGAGCTCGAATTGAATATTCATAGGTAAAACATGTTTACGTATAATCCACGTTTAAGAACTCAAAACTTTCCCCATAAAATTCAATTTATTCAAAACATTTGATGTTGAATAATAAGGCTAAGGCGACATGTTTCGGCTAACAAGCCATCATCACGCCCTAAAAGTTCGGTTTTAACTTTAGCTAATTTAGTTTAACTTTTAGGACCTGATGATGGCTTGTTAGCGGAAACATGTCGCCTTAGCCTTATTATTCAACATCAAATGTTTTGAATAAATTGAATTTTATGGGGAAGGTTTTGAGTTCTTAAACGTGGATTATCATTGCTCCACATTTCGAGTTATATAAAGAGAAAATGGATACCTAACGATGTTAACGTATGCCGGGTCAGCTAGTTTACCATAAAGGTGCCAAAATGTGGTTAGTTCAACTCAATGAATTTTGTCGTTTCCTCCATAAAATTGGTATATGCATGAACATTTTGCAGGGTTGATCAAAACGTTGCCAAGGCAGGAAGACCCCCAAATTTAGTTCTTGTGTAGTAAAGTGATCTGTTTAACCGTTTATTAAATGAAAATATGACGTATAAAATTAATCAACACACACCTAAATAGATGGTTTCACTTGCGTTGATCTGTAATTAATTATGCTAAGAATAAAGACTCCTTTGAACACATTATATAACCATTGTTAAGTGATTTCTTTAGTATCCGACATTATAGTAAAAGGTAGAATGTTTGCACCTAGAGCTTTTGTGTGAAAGGAACATAAACGACTTACAATTTTGTCAAAATATACCCACTGTATGTACTACTACGTTCGGTTATTAGAACTGCATAGTATAGTTTTGTAATAGTTATAGTTTTCCTTACATTTTATTAATTAGACAGTTTCCTTCAGGTAGATAGTCCTTCAATATTGACCTAATATTGCCAATATAATATACAGTATTAGGTACATGGGACCTGGGTTAAGAAATCGCTATTATTCTAGCTCTAGATCCCTACATAGATTATATCAGTTACGTCAAACATATTAAAAGTTAATTTTTATCTATCACTACTGCCCATGCTATTTTATTTGTAAGATCAAGTACCATAGTGGTTTTAACGGATTTTCAAACTAATTTTCATTTGATTAACCTAGGTCGTGTTACCATGATAATGAATGGCACAAGGTTTCCTTATTTTGTAGATTTGTAACATTGCAACACTTGGTCGTGTATTGTATAGATACTTACTCCCCAAGTTAGTAATTGAAGAATAACGAACTCCATTGTAATAAATAACATTTTCACCCGCAGATGGTTTCATTATGAGGGTGTAATAGGTACCGTTTTTCAATTTAAGACACTGAACACTATAGACACTTTTTAAAGTAGGTACTAAGTATTCTGTTAATGTTTTTCACAATTTGCGTTGCGTAACTCGCGTTAGTACATCTATGTTATTATAATTTCTGGAAATTCCTAACGCTCATTAAAATTCATTAAGAAAATGACAAGAGTAGTTCGTTTATACAGGTAAACTTGTCGTCACAAACGATAGGCACCTACATATAGGTGTATAATAAAACTTTATTAATTGTCTATCACATTGTTTTATGTACCTACTTCGAAGTTCGTGATATGATACTGATAAAAATATAATTTATCGAAGTGAAATAATTTCCACAAGTAAGAATGGTGGAACTGATTATTATTTATATACATGTCCTTGTTTGGATGTTGTTAATCTATAGAAAATGTTTATTTAACACTCTAAAGTAATCAAATCTATTTTTTTTTGAATCACTGATTCATATTCTCTATACTGCATGTTTCATGATTTGTTTTGAATACATAGTGTACCTCTTGATAATGGGGACCTGTATTTGTAAATCAACCTCTTCTACTCTGCCCTTCTTTATTCGTTACTTTTGGACGAAGTGAAAACATTTTTTTTTTGTAGGGTACCCGTCTATGCTTCAAACTGTTATAAAGTTCATCAGTAGGTAGGTACCTACCATGATACTACAACTTAACAAGTATCATGGGTAGGTACCTACTTTTTTTTTCAAATAAGGAATGTCGGATTAGGACAATTCCTATAGGTACTATGTGCGTCGTAATGTGTCTTATGATCAAAAAGTGGAGACATTTAGGTAATTTGTAAACATAGATTGTATTATTTACTATACGTTTTCATGAAGGTCGAATATAATTTTAAATTAAAATCGATAAAAGCTATCATCGTTTTAGACAATAAAAGGAGAGTGTAGTGTTTGATGCGATAACGTCTGCTCAAATTTACTTATAACAAACAAAAATACAGTATTTGAACGGTGCAAATTTTGTACAACCAGTCCGTGTACAACCACTTTTTAAAATTAGAAATTGAGGGTTTTTGTTAAGTTTTTGTTGAGTAGGTACCATGTAATAAACTTTATTCATTGAATAAACTGTAGCTAAGGGAAGAGATATAAGATATTCCTGCACCGAAACTGTAGCTCGACTACGGCGAGCAGCAAGTGTTTACCAGAGTCAGAGTGCAGATACCTCGTTTGAATTTTTCAGTATGATTATAAACTGCATATACCTGCCAACCTACGCTTTTGCAAAGTGTTCGACTAATTCACTTATGTTTTGCGGCACGGTAGGAACCACATACTTCATTTTCTACAAAAGAGTTAATTTTTTCAATCTATAGGCACAGATAAAATATCTGTGCTATAGGTATGAAAAAACAACAATTGATTGATTCCTTGCGCTAGTCAAAGCTGTCTGACGTACCTACTATCCCTAAATTACTGTAATATTTGTGTCAAAAAGATTGTATGTGTAACCTTTGTTCATTCATTCAAGTGATTAGATGTTGGGTTTCGGAGGTCAACCCCCTAGGTCAAATGTATTTTGGTTTAAGCGATGCTGAAGTGTCAGTATGTTTAGGTAAAGCAACGCCTTGCAGTGACGTCATGTTTATAGTTTACTCGATAGTTTTTGCAAGCATTTAGCATGTATTTTGGGGGTCGCAAGGGTTCGTCTGAGGCATGTTGAGTCAGACTCACTTCGTCTCGGTACGGAAACGTGCTCCTTTTAAAAACATGTTGTGTGAGTGTGAGTCAGACTCACTCCGTCTCGGTACGGAAACGTGCTCCTTTTAAAAACATGTGGAGCATCGCACATTTTTTTTAAGTAATTCGCGGCGGGTAGGTATATGTTTTGTACAGTGCAGGTAGTCCAAATTATAAATTTTAATCCGGCAAGGTATTCCTAGTTAATTGACTTAGTTATCAGCATATTACACTATGCTATTAAGTACTCATTTATCATGGAAAGGAGTTTATTGAGCGCTAATTCGAAATAAAAGTTTGTCTCCTTAAAATAAAAAATAAAAAAAATGTTTTCTACTTAAGGCAAGTAACTTTAGCGCAGTTTCCATGGATTGATCAAGATGTCTAAAATATGCGATACAACAAACTGAATATTGTAACGTGATTTATAAATTCGGGTTCGATTTATATCAATATTTATTAAACAAAACTAAAACACTATAAAAACTGTACAATTTATTTCGACTATTTATATTACACACTTCGCAATTTATATCAGATTTTCGCGCTCAATGTTTCGTCCGTACTCGATCTCGTTCGGTAGTAAAACTGCTTGCGATGTTCGGTCCGCAACCATTTATACACGCAAGCAATGTAAGTCCAGAACACTCGCGTAATTAGCGGATAAGTCTGGAATATTCCTATACAAATCCCACTATCACGCGCGTAGAAAATTCCAGAGCGCCAAAGGCGACGTCATGTCTGGAGCGTTTCCGTTACAATATCATGAAAACTGTAATAGTACATTATATATCAAGGTAGAGAAGTACAGTATTATTGCCTGAGCACCAAGATTACATCTCGAGGCGCTTGCGCCGAGGGGTGTAAGGTGCGAAGGCAATAATAGACTTCTCTACCGTGGTACTTATATATACTATTTTTTTCACTACTAGCACTTGAAATCCTCTAAATTAACATATTATATTGATAAGAAAATGAACGGTTGGACAGAATTTTTTGTTTATTAATTTAATATGTCCATCAAGTAGAAGTACAAGTCAAACAGGCCATATTTTGTTCTGTCATTGAGATATTTTCAAAGAGTAATTTCGTTCGAATTTTTTCAAAATGTGATAATTTTAGGTATGTAATTTCTCTGGAAATGGCTGATGGTGGCAATTATTCATTTAAGAGAACTTGTCCAAACGTTTATTGAGCGAAATTTCGGGTTGTGTTTTCTAAAAGTGACAGTTCTCATTATTGACTAATTACTCTATGCTACTAGTTAATAATGTCCACATTATTAACCACTTTGAACAAATGCCGAGAAAACCTACTTTACAAGTGGAAAAAAGGTTAATAATCATGTCATCAGACGCTAGTAGTGAAAAAAAGTAGTTAAAGCCTCGGACGGATGGACTGACGGAAGAAGTGGTCATAATAGCACCTACCAACATGAGTTCGAAAATGCGCTGTTGCGATTACGTTATGTATGGGATAATCTTGCCGCAATACTAGTTGGCTATCGAACATTTGCGTGATCGATTGGCGACTGTGTTTCAATCATGGGGACCTGTTACGACATTATTGGAGAAAATGATCATTACGTTACAAAAGACATCGTTCATTTTTCTGGAAAGAGGACCACAATTTTCCATAGAAATCAAGGCTATTGTTCTTCCTGCCTGTCGACGCCCTCTTTGAAAATAATATAACGATTTGTTGTAGTGGGTGGATTTTAACATTGTATATGCAAATGAGTTGTGTTATGAGAAAGCTACAAGTGTAAAATATATTCTAACAATTGAAGGACTTTTCTTATTTGTAGAGATATTTTTTGAAACTTTTTGCTTCGCACGTATAGTAGGTAATCGATGTTTGAGAAACAATTCTTCCCCTCTTACTTATGTATTTGACTATTTGTCTATTAACAGCAATATTAACATTTTCAAATGCGGTCATATAATAGCGGAGTATGGCAAAATGCGTCTTTTTCATTCTTACATTCGTTGGACATTTTGGAATGATTAACCGTGAACACAACAGCCGCCTCAAACACTATAGATGCTATTCAACATCTTTAGTTAAATGCGAATACAACGATGTAGGTATGCCACTTTAAAAAAAGTTGTAAACTGTCGTTGGTTTCAACCTGTGCACAACGCTCTAGTCGTGCCAGAATACCTATTATCAGACATCATCTATGTATATCATTCTGGAAAATGGAAAATTTGTCCGATAGGTTTTCTCGCACAATTAGGGGGTTGTGAGCGGGTGCACTATCCTGTCGAAACCTTAGGTCGAAACCAATTCAGTTTCTAATTTTTGTTTTTTTTTTATTGTCTGCCGTACACTGTGATTACCTACGTGTATCTGGACAAGTGATACTGAGATAATTTTCTAGATCTCCCTCAAGGACCTCATAAGTCATAAACCTATGCAAGTCATTAAGAAAATTTAAAAATAATCAACTCATGTTTCGATGGCTTTAATGTTTGGCGGCAGAGTCAATTATATATATAGTTAGTCCAAGTTTTGAGTATAGACTTAATCAAAGATCCCAAGTAAAAAAAATATTAAATATTGTTGTCCCTGTTTTCAGTTGTTCTGGCGCCCATGCCGCCCATGTAGTTGTCTCGATCGGCTGCCCAGTTCTCCCGCGTCCACTTATCCCCGATCCTTTGGTACTAGATGGTCCATTCCCATATCTTGTGAGAACACTATTAACATTCTACCGGCTACTCCGAATTAGGTTTTCCTGCAGTTTTCCTAATTCGTAAGGTAAATATCGGAGTAGTGTATAGAACAACTTAAGACCTTCTGCAGAGGCACCTCTAAAAAGCATTATGCGGGGTCACTCTGTAATTGGGCGCAAGTCTGTTGAGGGCCCAGAACAAGAGAGGAATAATAAATAAATAAATAATTATTAATCAATATTATACTAAAGCAGCCAGTGCCGCGCCGCGGTTTCCTTGGGTCCTACGGTTTCGCCGTCGCTGAACGTCACGTTTAAGCTCTCAAATCTTAAATTTTAAATCAATGTTAATATTGCGAATAAATTTGCCTTATTTTAGGTATCCGTATTCCACCTTTTAAAATTTGTGTAGATGTTCTTGACAGTTCGTGTCACATTACGTTTGGCAACACTCAAACGTTAGTCACCCAGTACCTGCATATTTTGTATCACCCAGTATATAATGTACCCTTTTAAGAAACTTAACCTTACTTTACCATTGCAGACAAATACAAAACGTTTTACTCTTCAGTTTTTTATTTAATTTATTGTGTTCCCTTTCGAGGGGGTGCTTAGGAACGGTTTAGCCGAATGTTTGATTTAATTACGGCAGCAAGGACTGTCTCTGGTTGTCATAAAACACTTCACGTAGAGACATGGATCCCATTTTTAATTCCAGCGAACCTCTAGATATTACTAGGCCCAATGTGATAAAAGTCGATGGATATTGCTTTAGGGACTTTCAGAACTTTAAATTAGATGTAGCTGACAACAGTACAACTGACCACCTGGCGCCTTACGAAGAACATGGTAAATGCACATTTCTGTACGAACACTTTATCAGTTCAGCTTTTTAGACGAGTTAGTAAACTGTACTGAGATAGACGACAATTTCCAATTGAGTGTAAATGACTCGGGCAAATTTGTTATCAAATTTCATGTGCCCTCGTAAGTTTCTTATGTCTGCCATGATTTTTCATTATTGTGGTACGTTTTGTAGTTGCTTTATGGGTATTGTTATTGGGTCCAGAGGATCAGTTCGTCAGAGAATAGAACAGGAAACAAGAACTGCTATACAAATAAGAAAAGGTGGCACTGATGTTACAGTCCATGGGGAAAATGAACGAGATGTGATTACTGCAAAGAATAGAATCGATTTAATACTGTGGCAAGCGAGGGATAAACATCGACTGACTCATTTTATTTCAATTCCCTTAATTAGTGATTTAATCAAGTACAATTTTGATTCATTTAAGGTAAGTTCTGCTTATAATATTTTTGGATAAAAAGTCTTTTCTCATCAACATGAGATTTGATTTGTGTATTGTCATAAAACAAAACTCAAATAAATTTCACAATTAGTAATTTCTAGCTAAAATCGCCGTGTATGTATCTTTAGTATAAGGAGCAAAAGTGAGTCCAGTTTATGGTTGATGCATTGTATGGGCAGTGGGTACAGTCAATTGAACTTACACTATTACCACAAGAGTCTTGTGGTTCTCTTCAGGGTTATTACATGTTGATTTTGTACTCGCTTAGACTTTAGTCAGGGGGCCCTTTCGCCACTACCACTTAGGGTCAGAAAGTTGGAGGTGTAACAAACATATTATTTTTGAAAGTCATTTTTCAATACATTTCTTATGGGGTTGTTGTTGTTTCAGTCCACATTACTGAACGAGTCCATTAAAATAAACGGACTACATCCATCGATGTTTCAAAATCCAAACAAAATTCATCTTACAATTGCTCCATTAGTTCTTGTTGATAACGTTGAAGAAGAACATGCCGTTAGAATCTTAAAAGAGTGCAATGAAACAGTGATTAGGTAAGTTCATTGTGAAATATTATTTTCCTTCAATTACAACTTTGCAGGCCTATTTTTCAAAACGCGGAGCCGTTAAAAATCTGTTTGCAAGGAGTGGAAATAATGAACGACGATCCAACTGATGTAGATGTCCTGTATGGCAAAATAAGAATTGAACCTCCAAAGTATAACGATTTACTGCAGAGAATGGCAGATGAAATTTATACTTACTTTACAAATAAAGGTATGCATTTCACCATGTGCCTGTCTACAGTCTGTAGTAATCCTTTACTTATAGGTTTAGTTCGAAAACAGTTTGATAATGTGAAGTTGCACGCAACTTTAATCAACTCGATATTTAGAAAAGCAGACAAGCAAAATAAGAAGGGAGAAGAGAAACAGGGGAGGAAGTCTTTTGATGCCAGTTATATCTTAAAAAAGTTTAAAAATTATAATTTCGGGGAAGCAGTTCTAAATTTTATTCACCTTTCGATTCGCTTTACAAAATCAGAGGGCGCCTATTATGATGCGTTATGTACTGTTTCATTAAAGTAATGAGTAGAGAGAGTTTTTGTATCCATTCCTTCTCCTTTGCAACCTTAGCCAAGACTACAGGTACTGTGGTGGTAACCTACCTGCTTTGTCTATGCCTACCTCTACGGTTAGGCAACACACTTACATTTGATACAAAAATACGTTGCGCTCTGTATACACCAATTGTGCTATGTTTTCGATTTCGATCGTTCTGCGCAGATGCTAAAGACCAGGGGATTTTCATAATTAGGCTTGGGGAGAAAGTACATACATGTCAATATATATGATCTAAGGGTTAACTATAGTTGTTATTGTTTCTTGTACTTAATTAACCATTCAATGTTATGTTACAATTTGTTATTATTTACAGTATGCATAAAATGCTGATACCTATTTGAAGTGTCCTGTACCACATTTGTTTGTTATACTTACTGTACAGTATTTGTATTCACCAGGAAGTTTATTATCAGTGTTGCTCTGTACGATTTGATTTAACTATAATCCGTGAAAGAAGTAGCTAATATAGTCCGATTTTTCGCTGTATCTGTTACTTTCTTACTCGTGGGACGGTGCGTAAGCTATACGACATGGGGGTTCTCCAAAAGTAACATTTTTTTTACTTATGTGTTTTACTTGTGCGAAGATAGATTTTAACATGAATACTCATTACTTTTAGCTATACTCTTACGTGTACTTTTCATCTGAATTTATGGTAATCAAGGCTGGAGTAGAGCCACGTCATTTTGATGCTTTTTTATGTACATGCAATTTATCACTTTACGAGTTCTTTTATCGCAATTAATCGTACACAATATCATGATGTGCTTTTGTACTAAATAGATTTGTATGTTTTTCATTTGCATTTATGATGTCTCCTGTGTTTTGTTGAGATATTTTATTTGTGTATTTTCTCTTTTGCATTTTGTTGTCGTAGTTGATTTACTTACTTCATGTATTTGAGTGGGGGGTATTATGTATTACTGCTGCGCAAAATGTTACCTTGTGAGGTGTTGGCGGTTTTCAAGAACTGCAACGTTAAAAATTGGGTCATGATGTAAACGGTAAAACTTAGTATCGTTTTTTTATTGGTTGATACAGATCAGATGCATTCGGAAGAATACCACCTCTGTTGTCAACATATTTGCTGTTATGAATCTTTGTGGATTTATAAATTCCGTCAAAGTTGTATGAGAAATGTTCCCACAGTTGTATGATTATCGACCAAGCAAGTCCAATATTTATTTTTATTTTAACAAAAGTTGTGAGTATTTTGTGATGATATTGTGAATTTACAAATAAAAATGGCAACAATTAAAATCCCCGAGCAAAAAGTAATACTTTGCGGAGAATATGGCGTGGGAAAAAGTTCGCTATTTCGAAGATTTACAAATAACACATTCGTTACAGCTACAGATCGACAATCCACCTTAGGGCTAGATCATTTCGATAAAACCTACAACGTCGGTGACAAAAGCTTAAAAGTAAGTCATCTTTACACCGACATCGCAATTATAAACGAGTCTTTTAGCTTCAGTTATGGGATACTGGAGGCATGGAGAGAATTGCGTCTATTACGTCGAGTTACTATAAGTTCGCGGAAGCAGCGATTATAGTGTTCTCCCTAGACAATTCGGCATCTTTTCATAGTTTGTCACAACATTTATTAGATGTGGTGACATATGCAGAAAGTGCCAAAATATTTCTTTGCGGAAATAAGTCCGATTTGGAAGGGGAGAAACCGCAAGTGACTGATGCCGATATTGAAACATTTTGGTACAAAGTCAACTTTTATTGTTCATAGATAAATTTACGAATTTTAGTGAACAATGTCACAATCTAATCAGCGGCGTGTACAAAACATCTTGCAAACTTGCCGATGGAATCGAGGAGATGTTTACCGATATTGCTTGTCACTTGGCAGAATCGAACAGATCACGTCTGGAATTACAAACAATGAAGCACCACGGTTTCAAAGTATTACCGGCTGACGAACAGACGGCAGAAGGCTCATGCTTATGTTAATATTTATTTTGTCAAAGATTATCTAGTCGCACTAATTTTATTTAACTGCCTGCCAATAATCTTGCACAACTGATCAAACAAATGAATCCATGACGTCCTCTCATGCTGTGATCATTACATAGCTTTCAAGTAGGCTGACTGAGTATTATTTGTAATATGCATATTGAAAATTTTTTAAATTAATTTACACTGCCATCCTACACTAAAAATCATCTTATTTTAAGTTTTTCACGCCCATTTCCTACAAAATAAACATTCTAAGCCAAATTTATAAGATGTTTATTTTCTAACGAAATGCAAGTGTAACAACTCCAAAAACGTCCTTAACTTTTTGCTAAGGATGGCAGTACGCATTGTCAAATCAAGTCATTTGAATTGAGGATGTATAATATAATAATCAAGCACAATATAACAGAGAAGAACTTGATATATTTATAATTCTGAATGTATAACACATATAGCAATCATCACATTTAAACTATAATGAAGAGTAGCATAGACACTCATGTTATTGAGCTTTTTCAAATAAACGAAATGATTTGTAATACGAGTTTTTAGCCAGTGAATGGTGAAATTGTATAAGCAATAGTAATACTAGAGAAGAAAGTGGAGTTTTTCAACTTGAGGTCAAAATTTGACACACAACCGTAGTTGAGAAACACTTTCTTTTCAAGTTTTACACATTTTTTCTGAAACTACAATCAAAATTATCGTATGCAATAATGAAGTTTGACACAATATAGCAACCTAGATATGGGTACATTTCAATTTTAAATATTAAGATTAACGCAGCAATTGTTTTTTGCTTTCTGCACTAGGGAGGAAAATCACATTTTCTTCACTCTTTTTAGAGACGAAAGTACATTTAAAAAAAATATTCGCTGTGGTATCTTTTTTATTTGCAAGTGAAGTCAAATGTAACGCCCTCTATAAGATCGACGCATGCAGGGTAGTTTCCAAATACATTTCTACACAAAGTTCTCGCACATAATTTGTAGCATATTGCAAACAGTAAGCAAAACCAAAAGAAATGGACCTAGGCGTCTGGAGCCCAATTTTAAAGAGAAAATCACTGATGCAAACAGAATTTTGCTATCTCTAATGGGAGCGTTTCTCAAATTTAGTCGATTTCCTTAATGCTCCATAACTTTCTTTTATTAGTAAAAATAATTGATTTTGGTAAAAGCTTTCTTAAAGCACTTACTTATGTGGAATCCATTGCGATATAGTTTTTATACAGGGTGTTTGGTTTTTTTGTACGACCCTGAATTATATTTTTTCATACGGACCACCCTAGATATTTTGGAGTTTTTGAAAAAAGCGTCAAATTTCCTAAATTTTGATGCATCACTTATTATATTTATATTAAATATTATTTGTACTATTGTAGTTTATAGATTAAAATGTTTTTATTGTAGGTCGTAATTCTGAAGTTGAGTACCGTGCGCACATTTGTCACGACACATATGTTTAATGAAAACCCCTTGTTGGTTTTTATATAAGAAAACTATTAGCTGTTGTGTTAAAAACTAAAATAGGTACAAATAAACGTACTACGAATTTCTTGGAATTGTCAACAAAGTTGACACAAAGTTGATCAAGGTCACCTAGTTTCTCGAATTGTGAAATTTAAGTCAATATCAGGAGTTCTCTTGTAGCAGATGCTGGTTGTGTACAAGGAGAGATTATAAAATTCTAAGTTTGAATTTTGATTTGTTTGAGGTAGCTGGAGAGGTGCTGTGTGTGTGGTGCAGTGATCAGATACTACTATTGCACATAGCAATATGTGTACGTATTTTATTATTAACATTAAATAATACCTATCAAAACAAAAATGAGAGACGGATGGTGCCATGAGTAAAAGAAAGCAATAAAACATCACAGCACATTTTATAAGAGTACATTCATGTACTACATTATATAAGCAATAATCAATTTTATTACAATAGTAAAGCGAGGAATTTTACAACCTATAAAATATATTTTAATGAGGATATGCAACAAAATGGCTTCTCTTTCAGTTGCATAGTGCATTGGTACACGGTAAGTTTATAAAATGTTGTTTCTTTCACACCCACTTTTTAGTGTTGGGACCATTGGATCGTTTTCAAATTGACTCCTTCTTGTACCATTTCCCACAACGGGCTCATTTCTCGGAGCCTTGTAACATGATATATACATTTCTGTGCAGTGTAATCCACTTCTTCGATCGTTGTAAAACGACCAATACCAAATCTAAGAGAATTTTTGTTGACTAACATCATTTTGATTACAACTAACCTTATGGAACTGTGCGCCAAATCTTCATCTGCACCTATTGCTCTCAACACATACGATGGTTCTAATGATGCCGAAGTACAAGCTGATCCACTGGACAAGGCAACATCTTTCAGAGCCATTAGAAGAGATTCTCCTACAAAATGTTATAAAATAAATAGGTACATTTCCTACTGAAATTGGTCCAGAAATATTGACTGATTTTGATCAACCTTTTAAGTTTTAGAATAAAAAATTTCTTTTGGATATAAACCACTAAATTAAAAAAAACAAACAAAGCCTCTTGAAAAGTGCAAGGAGATATGGCTTCAGAAATACAAAGAAAGTGCTTTGCTGAGAAAATGCGCTAAAAAATCCAAATGTGACCTTTTTGGATCAGAACCCAGAATAACAAGCGCAACAATGATTTCCGTCTCATTAGTGAGAAGTCGGGGAAACAGGAAACACCCTGTAGTATGACAATCCTTTGGACTATCAAGTATTCCCTAACTGTACATCAGAAAGATTTGACCCACTGATTTACCTTCAACATACGCAAATGATAGATTAACACAGCCAGGATAAGTCTGAACGGGATCTCCATTTCGAATAACATGCTCAAGTTTACCAAAAATTTGATCTATTAATCGCTTGCTTAATTTTTCCATCCATTTGTGATCATAAGCCATTTCCTTTGTGGCAATTTCACATGCAGTTCCCATTCCAACAGCCAAAGGAGTTGGAACGGTGCCACTGCGCAGTCCTCTTTCCTGTCCTCCACCGCTTTGCAATGCTTCTAGTCTTACCCTCGGCCTCCTACGCACGTACAGAGCGCCTACTCCTTTCGGGCCGTAAATCTTATGTCCACTGATCGACATTAAATCGATATTCATCTCGTTAACATCCATGGGCACCTTTCCGACAGCTTGTGCGGCGTCAGTGTGAAAAAAGACCTTTTTCGCTTTACATATTCGTCCAATTTCTGATATCGGTTGCTTAACACCGATCTCGTTGTTAACGGTCATTACAGAGACAAGAGCCGTTTCAGGTGTAATAGTCCGATCAAGATCCTCCAAGGAAAGTATACCATTTTCGCCAACAGGTAAATAAGTGACTTTAAAACCTTCTCCTTCTAATGCACGGCAAGAATCTAACACACATTTGTGCTCCTAAAAAAATGTATTGTAAAATGGCTTAACTAGGTCTAACTAACGGTTTGCGTTGTGATAACATGCTTCTTTTTTGCACCATAAAATCTTGCAACACCTTTAATCGATATATTATTACTTTCAGTCGCTCCAGATGTGAATATGATTTCCTTAGGATCTGCACCTATTATATTGGCAATTTGCGTCCTCGCCTTCTCCACGGCTTCCTCGGATTCCCAACCGTACGCGTGTGTTCGAGAATGGGGATTTCCATAGAACGAAGTCAAATACGGAAGCATCGAGTCTAAAACTCGAGGATCCTAAAAGACGATGCTTTATAATTTTGCCACAATTTGAAAATGAATTACCAAGGGCGTTGTTGCTTGAGCATCCAGGTATAATGGTCTTCCATCGAATACTTGCTCTTTGATGTTGTAATTTGTTTCTAAAACTTTCCGATTAGTTTAGGTGACATTTAGATAACCTCAATATTACTACCAGTCTGAAGAAAACGAGAATTTGTAAGAAATGTCAGCGGCTCGCACTTTTTTGAAAGAATGGCCGAGTTGTAAAGGTTTATTTTAGTTATACAACGATACATTTTCTTTAAAATTTATATAATCTCAAAGGTAAAATACAAAACACTTTCTATACTTTTAGGTTAGGAGGTAATCACTTTCCTCTTCACTTTTGTTACTTCGATTATGCTTCGATTTATCTGCCACCTATTGAAATAGACTAGAATTAAAATACAAAATAGCGGGAAACTTTAACCCACATAATAAAAGCCCTGTTATTGCTTTTCTTTTCATACAATGCAATAATTATAATTTGATACAATATTTTTATGGAATTGCACGCTTTTCTTGCGTTCGAGACATATGCACAGTTAAATTGTTCTGTATGTATACGGATTTCAAAGTACCTACATAAATCCATATTCTGAAGGTTTGCATAAATAGATGCATTTATGCATATTAAAAAAAAATTGGGTTTATATTAAACGGTAAGTGACAGGTGCCCGCTTTTCGTACCAATAGGATCTCGATGCTGGGTAAATTAGGGTAAAGGTTGCCTGGGACCTTAAATAATCAAAACCTGGGACAAAAGCTGCCCATACACATGCAGACAAATCCATGAGCAAATGCGCACAAGTATGAATGCGCAAGCAAATCGGAAGCTATTTTTGGCCACAAACTATTCAGGTAAGTGCTGAGGAAACACCCTACATCCCCGTTCCGCCCGAGAGCACAATGGTCGTGGTGTACGCATCGATGTAAGAGAGTGCGCATGCGCTCTCTGCATGTGGTAGAAGCAAAGAGAAATAATTTTAATTAAGGATACCTACTCTTGACTTCATTTTTTTAGGCAACCCATTTCCATTGTGTTTATTTACGTATTAAGATTATAACAAATGTTTTCACTCGGTAAATAGATGGGCGAAGGTTGACCTTACCTTATGATGTGGGATCTTGTACTATTATAGGAAACGTACCAGCTCAATTGAATCCAAGTATCATTCGTATGAGCATATTACAATGGTATGCGAGTTATAGGCAGTAGCGAAAAGACTTAAACCTTTTTGCGATGCAAACTTTTGAAATGAGTCGATGGTGTCTGATGTCTGTCTGTGAACACGATAACTACTGCTTGGACATATTTCGTTCAAACTTTGCACAGTTGACCTATATGCCACATATAACAAGCTTATTCAAAATGGATCAAATCCAATGACTCCGTAGGGTCACACCGATCTGCCGCTTTTCATGATTAGCACTGCCATGTTGAAGTGGAAAAAAACCATTGAATTTTTGTTTGTAAAGGATGAGGCATTTTCTCCAAAAATACACCAAGCCTTGTTTAATATGCGATATAAAGGAAACAAGAGCAGATAGAGGTATAAGTACTTCAAGGATTTATCACGAAAAACGTTGAGAAAACTTCGTTATGCATAAAGGCCGACTGCCGTTGACCGTTGCCTGAAAGACTCGACAGTCGACAGCTTCGTTTTTTTAAGTCCATCTTGATTGTCGTCCATGCTTTTTATTAGTACCTATTGTAGGCAGCAGTGTTAAAGCAGAAGACACAAACCAAAAGCGATACTCATGATGAATGCACGTTCCGATTTTAAAAATGTAAACCTACTATATACATATTCTAGTATAAAAACAGTAGCAGATAGCCCCCCACTGCAAAACTTATGTCTCTTTCTTCGCATGGGCTAGATAGAATTAGGTTTTCCTGCAGATCCTGCGATGATTGACGTGACTGTTTTGACAGCTCACCATTAAACATTTTTAGTGGAGTCGTCGGAGCGACACACTTGTTCCCAAATCTGTTGAAAAACATTAGCGACGAGGTGAAGTAAGAAAATTAAATTTGCGCCACACAGGGCGGTGTTTCTTGTGTTGTCTTGAAAAAAAATAAAGTATTTGCTATTGATAAACTGCAACATTGTAAGAGCCTTTTGTCGTCGGTGTGTCAAAATAAATGATTATTTTATTGTAGCTCCCTCTAGTAAGGAAGAAATTATGGAGAAAAGCAATCAATCGAGTCTGAGTCGGTTGAGAAATCGAAGGTTGAGTCGTAAAACTGGCTATGTGGCTCAGTGACAGAGCGTTGAGCTACATAGCCGGAGTTCGGGTGTTCGAAGCTGGGCTGAGATAATAATTTTTCATCTGGGACGGAGAGGGGAAGTTGCTTAGATCAGTTTCGAGCATTCTGCCGGCTACTTCGAATTTCCTGTAGTTTTCCATTTCGCAAGGTAAATACCTGAGTAGTATAGAACAATTTAAGACCTTCTGCAGAGGCACCTCTAAAAAAGCATTAAGCGGGTCTCTCTATTTAGGCGTAAAGTCTGTTGGGGGTCCAGAACAACAGAGCGAGTATGCTCCTTTATTTAAATGTCATTTATTACAGTGGATTAGTTATAAGATTCCACCCAAGGTAAGAAAAAAGATTGGTACCTTGTACCTATTTGATTTAAATATTTGAAAACGGCAAATTTTAATTTATAATTATTTATTTACTTACTTGTTTATTTACTTATTTATTTATGTCTTATTTAATGGTATTTTTGTCATCTCGTACACGAATGAATGGAATGAAAAAGAAGAAGAAGAAGTTTTTGATCGATTTTCGTTATCCGTCATCATCAATACACCGATATTGGTTTATTTATTTATTTTTCAAAAGGAATGCAAACATAATCTAACACAAATACTGTATGATTACCTATTATTCTATAACAATATTGCTTACAATGACATATGGGTTGCAACAATATATAATCTATGATATGTCAGTATTTCAGGGGCAATATACTTTAGTTAGGATACATGATATTTCAAAACTATTAAAATATGTAGAAATAGTAAGAAATTGGTCCTATTCTTATATTATATAATTAATGTTAACACAACTTTTTTACACAATTATAACAATAAGCCATTTAAGATCAAAATGTCAATTTCTAATTACACACAGGGATCTACTACATTATATACATCTTATTTAGAATTTTACTTTTTACACTGAGATATTTATTTACATACCTATTCTTAAACAATTATTAAGGCTTTTATGTATTATTACGCAATTTAATAATTGATATATCTAACTTATTTCACCTATGGGTGTGGACACATGGTCGATGGTTTCCCCGTGCTCCAATACATAATTAATTAATCACATTTTTCTTAGTTATATATTTCACTTAACGTCGATAAACGACCTATTTATAATAGTAAAACAAGCTAGTTTAATTCCTCTTTTTGTATGCATTAGCAGTTTTAATATACTAACTTATATATTTTATTCAGTCATTGCACTATCAAAGCATTTAAATATGTAGACACTAATAGCTGAAGATTTGGTTTAGTAAGTACACAACCATATAAAAAAAGGTTAAGCAATTTAAAGTATTTTTAATGTGTATTTTATTCTGGGAAAGCAATTTTATCTGTCAATTGAATGGGTTGGCGTTTCTACCGTTTCACTAGTTATTTATCATCTCACCCCTATCCATCTCGCATAGACACTTATTAATATTGAAATGAAAAATTGGCAGGAAGATGCTAATGCACCACATAATGTACCTATCCATTTATCCTAAAAACAACTTCTACCCTATTCGACACCTACTTCTGCCATTAGCAACCAACTTCGTGATCATACGGACACAAACGTCTTATCTTTGCCACGAAAGTTTGACCCTGTATCATTACGGTCTCATGAAGAAGAAGATGTAACAAACGGTGATGGAGGAATAATCTTTCATGGTAGGGATACTATAGTCATGAACACTTTTGGGCCATAAACAAATCTTGGGAATATCTACAATAGGTAGTGTCTTAAAAATACATAGCACCATTTTTTAATCAACATGTCAATCACAATACATTCAATACAAATATTTATCTTAAAATGCCTAAACAGTTACTGGTTGAGGTTTGTTATGGGAATGAATGCTACAATTCGCCACAATCAAAATAAATCCTGAGAGCTGCAATTATTGGGATTAGACCTAGGTACCATTACATCTTCGTACGGTGGTACTTTAGCCTTTTGGAATTCGTCTCTGACTTTCTCCACATCTTGAAAAACCCTTAAAAAGTTCAAACCGGCTAATTTCTTCAAGTCTTCAGTGCTCCATCTTCCAGTTCCGATTAATTCCGCAAACAGCGTGGGATAGGATGACACGTCTTCTAATCCTTTTGGTACGCTGAACATAAAAAAATCTATACTTAACATGACCCCTAATGCAAAGATTTAAACAGAACAGGTAGTATTCAGAATACACTACGTTTCGTCTGGATATGCCGCAAAATTTTAGTTTAGCGTCGTAAGTTAAAAGTTACAACAAATGAAGCGCCAGGTACTTACTAATTAATGCCATCATATCCAGCACCAAGACCAACATTGTCCACTCCAGCAACGTCTCGAATGTGATTGATATGGGCTGTATTAAAGTTACAATTACTATTAGCGAAAGTTTCTACCATTTTCAATAATTTTATACATGAACACCGGATTTAAAGTCTTGAAATTTGGCTACCTATTCAAATCTTGCAACGGACTGAATCAGTTCAGGGGCCAATCCTTCGCATGGGCAGTCGAATGAACAACGTCAAGTTTCGCCTGCTTTTTTTATTTAAATTTTACATTTATTTCAAAAAGTGTTTTTTGTCTAAATTAAATCCGGCGTTCAAACTGGGACACCATAAGAATAAATTTTCACGAGAATTGTGTTATCTGATATCTTAATATGAATTTTCTGAATCGATTTTCGTTAAAAAATTATTGAAAAGGAATCTACATTCTAAATTGCTCACCAACTGCATCGGCAACCGTTGACACATCTTTGCAGGTAAGGAAATGGGAATAAAAATTAACCATTATAACGCCCTTATTCAACGCCAGCTTTCTTAGAGTGGCGTCCGGCACATTTCTAGTAGAATTACAAAGGGCGTGAGCAGACGAATGGCTAAATATAACGGGAGCTTTAGATACGGCCAGGGCGTCTCTCATTGTCCTTACGGATACGTGAGACAAATCCACTATCATCCCCAAACGGTTCATCTCCTTCACCACACTCTGAAAATAACCATTTAACAAATAAGACAATTAATGGTTTTAGTAGTGCTAGAATACAGGATGCACAGATCACCGAGTTTGAATGCATTTGTGAGGAAGCGACTGTGGATATAAATTAATTAGGCAACACATCATCAATTTAGTGCTAGACTTGACATTGCAAACTGCATTGAAATACATGCATTGAATTCTATTCATACTGTTTGATTGTAAAACTTTCACGCTTTGATATTTTTCCATAATTAAGTCTTTTGTGTATCCGATCTGATGTTAGAACTAGAACATAGAAACTGGGATGAGAAGGAATGGCGTTCATCCAATTACAAAAACGATGCAAATTTAATTTTTTTAAATAGAATGCCTATTTTTTTATTATGGAATTTTGCTTCTTTTCATATAAGCCATTCCTATACCTCTTTCTTATAGCTTATGATTTATTTGCGCTTTTTACATTTTACCTACGTACCTATAACTATAACTCGTTAATGTTATAAATCACTATATGTGTTACCGGCAAACTGCGAAATCCGGCATTTTGCAAAATCCCTAGCCCTAGGCATTTGGCGAAATGACCAATGCATCAGGCAAAGTGATAAATGGAACTCAAGTTCGCACTTCTCCTGCCTCTCTTTAGGGATTTCGCGAAATGCCTAAACATTCAGGCAACGTGGGAATGGTCGGTTATTTTCCACAGATAATCATATACTGGTTTTGACAATTATACCCAATTATGGAGAAATGGATCTCGTTGTATTTAATAGGAAAAGTTCTTAAATACATTTTATTTATTTAGAAATAGCAAACCTCATTAAATCGGACTGACTTATTGCGTGAATGAAATCGAAATAAAATGTGTGTGAAATGTTTCTCAATCTTATAAAATTAACAGTAATTAGTAATTACTGTGTGTTTGCACTGTTTAATTTTGATCTTAAAAATTTTTTTATTAAAAGATGTTCACCGAATCAACCTCACAATGAATAAAAAGATGAGAATTTATTGAGTTATGTTAGGTAACCATTAAAGCGTGAACTATCTTTTAATATTAAATTTCAAATATGGGCATTCAAAAGGTACGGCCCGTTTTTAATTAAATTTCCTCTTTACGGTGGTTTGCTAAGTAAAGTTTTAATAACGTTTAAGATTCATCGCAGAGTACAGTGTGTCATGAAAGATTGGAATTAATCTAATTTTTTCACTTGCCTTTCCGAAGTTTGTTAAACCGCCATGTTCGGGTTTCTTTCCGGGCATGTCTTCGTGAGAACAATCCGCCCTGCAGTTAAAACGAAAGTTAAAAGCTGCCGATTTCAAAGTTATCATACTTACCATGGTGTATTACAAGTTGACGTTAAGGTAAGGTACCTAACTCCGACGTGGTATAGAGTTCGCAATACTGCCAAACTTCCCGCTAGCGAATGTCCCCCTTCTACGCCGATTAATGAGCAAAGTTGATGTCTTCCGTAGGCAGCTTTTATATCTGTAAAAGAGAAAACTCCAAATTGAAACGAAACTTCAGTTTTTCCAAACGCTCCGACAAAAACACTGTGTGATTCTACGAGTTCAAGGATTTTTACAATTATATTGTTGATGTTGATGGCAATTATATAATAGATTAGAACAGATGAAAGCAATTACTTTACAAATGCACCTAACTAAATTCTACAACCAGAAGACGTGGAGTATTGCGACCACATTCCCTCAAAGAAGTATTCTGTGTGTTTCGAAGTAAGTGACAATTTTTTTCATGTTGTTTTATGAACATTAAATTTATTTCGAAGTAGTAGGTAATTTTGGAAAAGCGAGGGTTTCATTTTGGAATAGAGGTGTTGGTAATTGTTTCAAAAAATTATTTCACGTGTACCCAGTAAATTATAAGTTTCATCTTAATTTGGGCAAGCCGAGTGATTATTTCTAAAATAAACGCAAAAAGGAGCAATTTCCTACACTGTATCTCTCACTGTTACGGACATCGGGACATCCCAATAGTGAGCCACGAATTTGAACCACCCTGTACTTTTTTTTAACCTTCACCTTTCGTTTGTTGACGCTTGTTTGTCACATCCTTCTTACACATGTATTCTGTATTTATCTTGCTCCTTTCATGTCACATTCAGACTTTCTTCACTCTTTGTTTTTACTTTATGAACGGAAGTGCGTAACACAGTTATATTACTGGATATACGCATTCAATTGTTCCCAAAAAAGTCAATTTTTTTACCTCTGAGAAAAAACGGGGGTTTTCCAAAAGTTTCCGTTTTTTTTTACCGACCCTTTAACACACTATTTGGGACAACAAAGTTTGAGCATACCTTCTAAACACACGTGTACAATATTTTTTGTAAATAATTGTTTGAGCTGTATTAATTATAGCTATTTACTTTTATTAAACCAGAGTAAAAAGCAAAGAAGTCAGTGACCATAGTGACAATTTAACATCCGGTTTGGCCGGAAGTAAACCTACTTGTCAAAAATAATTACCACGTTCAAAAATACTAGCAACATGTTTCATGAATGAAAAAATTTACAGGCTGTTCTATTTAAAAATAGGATATTTATTTTGCATTTAACTCTAGCGGTTCGTAGATATCCGGGACGTCTGACGCACTCTATATAAAGAAACAAAGCCTACTTACCCTCAGCTGAAGTGCATAAAGTGAGTGACGGCTTGTATAATTCTGTTAATCTTCTAATAACATCAATTTGTTCCAAAGTAAGCTGAACTGCGTCTCTGTTTTGCGAATCACAAGGTACATAGGCGGCCCAAAACTGAAACAAAAATAACATTTTACTCAATGTGCTTTGTGGAACTCTAAATATTCTTTGTAACAGGATATTCCAGAAAATCGACGCATCCGATTTTTTGTGCCAGGATGGCGCTGTTACGATAAAATATATTAGTCCAGTTATTTAACAAGAATTTCATCGTTTGATCAGAAAAAATACAAGTACTCAAACCCATAAAGTTAGCATTAAGAAGCAGATTTTGCAGAATTTTCACGAATAATTTTTCTCGTTCCTTGTAATTGATTTCGTATGCGTCGAGAGAGTTTATAATTCATTTTACGGCTAAAAGTATTGGAGACATTCCCGAAGCACAAAAATTAAGTTAATAATTGGATTTAACTTCATTAGTGATGTCTTTTAAGCATTGAAAGGTGCTCCACTTTTTTCATCAATTTTAAATTTGGACTTTTAAATATTTAAGATAGGTTCGCATTATTGAAGCGGAATTTTGATTGTAATTAGAACTTTAGTTGTCTCAAGAAGGCGAATGTAATCAGTTGTTCTCCAGCGAGCCCCATTTATGTTTTTAATTTTTCCATTTTTCCCTTTTTACTGTTACAATAATATCATCATTAATTCGATTAATTCTCGCCCAATAGTTAGTATTACATTTGTAAAGACTTTAATTGCACCTACCAGTTTAGGATCTATTCTTCTACCTTAGAGGGTTTTCCATATTTGATGTATTGGGACTTTATCAAATGGCTTCCCCAAGTCGACGAAGCCAAAGCACGCCTTTTCCCACTTGCGTAATGTTTTAGTAATTACTTGCTGCGATGTGATAACGCGTGATCTTCTGTACTACCATTGAAAGGAATTACTCAATGGTAGTACATGTTCAATTATAGTTCGTTCATGGTATTTTTCTTCTGTGATTCTTATATTTAACTATTCTTTCTACCTATATGCATTATTTCCGTTCCTCTTTCAGGATCTGTCTCTCCTGTTTTAAGTGCAAACAGTTCATCCGTTTCCTTTTTGGAGTACTATTACCGGCATGTACAACATTTTTTGATTGTTTTTCAACCTCTTCCATTTTTTCACTAAATTTTCTCCATACAATCTGTTTTGCTTCAAATACCGTCTCCTTGACTAATTTCCGTAGTTTCTTTTTATCTTATTATTTACGTTTTTAGCGCATTTCCACAAAAATAAAAAAAATGCGCTATTGTGGCCACTTTGTCCGTCCGTCCGTCCGTCCGTCCGTCCGTCCGCTAACTTTGCGACGCTACTAGTTTTTTATCTTAAGAGCTATTGTTCTACTTTTTTCGCTATTTGGTTCGTTATGGTGTCGAGTCTTGTACCAAGGAAGGAATTTTTTCTGTACCGCTTACAAAAAAAGTTATTGTAAAAAAAACAAAAAACCGTTTTTTACATGTTCCATAATTTTACACTTTTGCCGTTTATTAACGATCCTAGAGATCGTTTATAATTTTGCATTGCTATCTGTCGCCTGCCGGTTGGTCTCTCCGTCTGTTCCTTTGTCTGTCTGTCCATCTATCTGTCCGTGTGAACGATAACTTTGTTTAGAAATGTTCGATCGCTTTTACATCTCCGTTAGTTATGAACTGAATTGCATGAAATTCAATATGGGCATAGATTTAGCCATATAATACGCAATGCCAAAAGTTGAATCGAATCGATTCAAAATTCACAGTGCCCTTTTCGCATCTCGACCATTTATAAACCGAATTGCAAACTTTTTTACTTATAAAAGTATTTGAATGAAATTTGATACATAGGCACTTGGAATAAAGGAAAATCAAACGCCAATTTCAAAATTTGGTATTGCGCATGCGCAGTGCCAACTTTTTTATTTATGGAAGAATTTAAACGAAATTTGATACATAAGCACTTCGAATAAAGGAAAATCAAACGCCAATTTCAAAATTTGGTTTTGCGCATGCGCAGTGCCAACTTTTTTATTTATGGAAGAATTTAAACGAAATTTGATACATAGGCACTTGGGATAAAGGAAAATCAAACGCCAATTTCAAAATTTGGTTTTGCGCATGCGCAGTGCCAACTTTTTTATTTATGGAAGAATTTAAACGAAATTTGATACATAGGCACTTGGGATAAAGGAAAATCAAACGCCAATTTCAAAATTTGGTTTTGCGCATGCGCAGTGCCAACTTTTTTATCTATGGAACTATTTAAGTGAAATTTGATACTTAGGCGCTTGGAACAAAGGAAAATCTAACATTAGTTTTAAAATTTAGGTTTGCGCATGCGCAGTTCCAACTTTGTTATTTAGAAAAGCATTGAAATGAAATTCTTCTCATAAACTGAAATTGAAGTAGCACGTCAACAATGGATTGCCCATGTGCAACGCTATCTTTCATATTTGTGGCCGGATTTTTACAGAAGTTGCATCTTACAAATGGGAAATGAATAAAAGTGGAAATGCGCTTTATGTAAATCGTTTACGATTACTTTTTAACTTGTTTCAATTTAACGTGTTCTTTCACTGTATTAGACCTCCATGCTGTTTGTTTCTTTGTGTTAGCATTACCTTAGTCAATGGTGTTATATAGTTATATAGTCTTATGACTTCTCTGCAGAGTTAGAATCATACTGTTTCTATTTCCTTTTCCACTTCTTCTTTAATATGATTGTCCAATTTTCTGTTTATTAGTATACAGTCTGTTCTACAAAAAGGACCCAAGGCTATAGCGACTTACATTATGTACGATCTCTCCGAACGCATTTTGAAACTTCCGACACCACTTCCCGCTAGACCGGGAATCGATGCAACAAATACTCCATTTTTACCACTCGCACGTTAGTAAGGGAGGTATTGCATTGGGATAAAGAATGACCCACGCCTTTTTTTTTTACAGAAATACACGTTTTGACGCACCAGAAATCCGAATCAAACCGAATCTCTGTTATATCGGTCTGTCGGTCCGTTTGTTCCCTCATTTCTTGCTAAACGGCTGAAGCAATTTAAACCAAATTTGGTACACATATTCTTAGACATAAAAAGAAGAGCCGAAACGCTTTAGGGGGAGAATCGCTCATGCGCAAGTGTGTCAAACTCTCATTTCCGGCTAAACGGCTGCACCGATTGGAACCAAATTTGGTTCACATATTCTTAGACATAAAAGGGCAGAATCGCGTATGCGCAGATGTGCGGTTGGTATCTATGCTAGCCACAGCAAATTTTTTTGTTTATCAACCAGATGCATATTTTTTGTCGTACAGCAAATTTCAAAGATCTAAAAAAACACATGAAAAACAAAAATTGCATTGATTTCCAGTTTAACGGGGAAGTCTGAAACTAGTGTCACATAAAATTGTACCTATTTGACAAAATTTGCGTAAATTCGTAATTAGAGTCGCTATAGCGTTGGCCTTCTTTTGTAGGACAGCTGTGTTTGAAAAAACCTTGCTAAAAAGTTAATTTATATTTCCGGCTCCAGCATTGAAGTCCTCTTTGTGCACGTTCTTCATCTACTTTATGTACCTATAGGCATTACCTATACGTAAGTTCTTCCCAGAAGGTATTTTTATTGTCAGTCTCCTCGTTCTCATTTGGTCTATAGTTCCACCTACTTGTCGGATTTTTCTCTTAGCTACACATTGTACTCCTATTCTGTTATTTTTTTGTGCACTACTGTAGATCAGTAGTTAATGATAATGATAATAATGATAATAATCCTTTATTTTCTCAACAGAAAGGCATAACCTTTCCAATTTCAGAGCAAAAACAACATTTTACAACCTGCCAGAGTACAATAGAGTTAAAAATAAATCAAAAACAAAAAATATGTCTAGTAAAATTGATAACAGTACTTAAACTACCGAAACCAATAACAAAAAAAATCAAACAAACAAACAAAAAAAGAAAAAGAAAAATTATCTATCGGCTCTCTTGAATAATTACTAAGTGCGACTAATAATACCAAAAGTGTAATTAATCATAATCGATTATACGACAAATAATGTTCTATGGAAATATTAAAATTAATTACTGTTAATGTTAGTAACCGAGCGTAACATTTCCGGTAAAGAACTGTAATGATCACAATTTTGTGAAATTAAATTAAAATTATAAGAGATTATAAATAACAGGCTTTTGCGCAGAAATTAGATTTAGCAGTGGAATTTGTAAAGGTACTAGCATTTCTATTAATGCGCACCGGAATTATGGATTAAGCCAAACAAAAAATTTATACTATTAACAGAACAAAAAGACAAGTTGAAAAGTAAAAAATAAAAACTGTATTAAACCGTGATCGACAATGAGATTGGAACAAGAAATCGTTACATGTAAACAGTACGCACTCTTTCGATTTATTGAACGATAAATTGGACAATCAGATCGTTACGATTTATCGAAGCCAAGATCGTAGCGTCTAAACCGCGCTTTAGATGCGATGCGCTTGTAGTTTGTTCAAAGATTCCAAAGCATCACTGATTTATAAAAATGTAATTTTTTATTTTGTCGATTTCTACTGTTTTGAAAAATGGAAAATTATAACTAAAAGTATGAACAGATGCAGTATTTTTTTTCTCTAAAAAAACTTATTTAGACTTTTGCTATAAAATAATTAGGGGAGCTAGTAATTGACTATAAAGAAATTACCATTGAAATCCCTATGCTGCGTTGCGCTAGGCACCACCCTGTATGTCGAACCATAATAGGTTTTAAACAGAGCCGAACAAGCGAACACCTTTTCAGAACTAGGAAGTCTGCCCACTCTAGTAAATCAGAAAAGGGAAACTGTCTCAAATGAGTACACAAATAAATGATGAGAATCCCGAATATTTCAAACCCATGTCAGAGAAGGTAATAAAAGAAGAGAAAAGCACTGAAAATAAATAAAAAGAGAATCGTAGTCAAGCTAGAACACATGCCTGAATTGCCATCTGAATTATTTCGCGCGTTATGAAACGTCCGTCTTTTGTAGTTACGGTGTTGATCACGAATAAAACAATGTTTGCGCTTTAGGACTCTCGTTCAGATTTTTTTAAATGGATTGTATGTACATAGG